ATACGCCATCTTCTTTCACCTTGGTGCAAACGAAGTTGTTGGAAAGTACCCTTTTTTAAATCGAGAGGGTGCGAAGCAGCACCCTCAAACCAAAGCTGAACATGACCTTGGGATGTTGGTGTTTGGCTCTTTTGAAAGAGAGACAAGAAAAACAATTCCAGTGTGGGGATCCCCCTCTTAAGGAACCACCCCAATCTTCTGGGCACTTGTTTCGTCGCGACCTCACTAACCAGGTTTAATTTGTATATTCACCAGGTTTAGGGACAGCCCTTCTTCAGAGTGATTTTTTTATGCTGGATTCCCAGAAGCAGGGGTGTATGCTTGTATGATACCGTATCCGGTGCTTGTTGTTTCTCTCAACAATGGAGAATTCGTTTTGGAAAACCTGTCTAACCAAAATGCTGGTGTTGATGTGTCCTTGTCCGATTTTTGGGTGACCCGAATTTGGACCCTGCGGAAGGACATTGTTTTAGGGTGCCATATATATGTCATGATACAAAGCAATTGTGGTTTTCAATTTTCATGGTGGTTAAGTGGTAGCAAAACAGGGCGGCAGCGTCCGAATCACCCGGCTTAGGTTTGGCATTGGCACTTCATGCTGAGAGTCTGAGTCACTGAAGTGTTTGCAGGTCACCTTGTCCACGGTGTTCCTGGTCGGGAGCAGCCTAACACAAGGCTATTAATTTCACCTGTTGGTTGTCTTTAAATCGGAAGAGTACCTTGTTACATTTGATTTAGAGAGAAACCAAAAGGAACATCCATTCTGGGGTCCCCTATTTTAACACCTACCCACATGGCAGTTTAATGCTTTAAACATGGGGTTTGAACCAGCTGCCCAACAAACCGTGGACAAGATAAACCCTGCAAGTCAGGTCTCTAGTGGTCGCTAGTAGGCAGATTGCTGCACCCGTCCGCTTTCTGTATATGTGTAGCCTATATTACCCGCCAGATTTAGCCCAATTCCCTCCAATTTGCTCATGTTAAGCCCTAAGGTGACCCTATTTTTGATAGAGGGCCCCAATGTATAGGGGCACGCCATGAGACGGGCCACAGGAACCAGATCTTTCGAGACATGTTCAAAGAACATGGCGTTCGGTGCCGACTTTTGCGGTGAGTCTTTGGATACATCCGGAGTGCTCTTTGTGGCTGCACATCTTTTTAATGACTGACAGTCTTGTGTGCAAAAAATGGTGCCTGCCGCGTGATCTTGAACAGCCCAGACCCCCTGCTGTGTACAGAGCGGTTCCTTGTTTCTTTTTTTTGGAGAGGGTTTCCCTTTGCTCCTGAAACTCAAAAGCCATCAAGTGTAGAGGAACTGGTTGTCAGGGTAGGCTCGAACCACTATTGTCATGTGTGACAGGCGACACACATGGCTGTGGCACAAGATCCCGTACCAAAATGGAACCCTGCTAAGTGGAAACCTGGACCAAAACCCGCTTAACTCCTCCTGTTTCTTTTTGAGCCACAGCCACATGCGAGCAACTACAATGACACCTTAATGTCCTTCGGGGGAAAAGCATCGACCATACCCTGCTGGCTTGTGGCAGCTGTCGTCTTCCCGGCCGTTGGTTTGCCCCCGACCGACACCTCAAACAATACGCGGTTGGCGTGTGTTTTCCAGGGCTAGAAAAGAATCGATCTCGCATTACGTAGAACGTGGGTGGGGACAATTTGCCTGCCCCCTTGCCTTTTAGCATGTCCTTCCTGGAAGTCTGAAACCTGTTTGACAAGCGCCGGGAGGCGGGGTCTTACTTGCTGGCTCTCGCTCGGATTGGAATGAAGGGGATCCCTGAAAGGAAACTTCAGAATCTGAGAAGATCAGGCGTCTTCTAGCGCCTGGGGCAATGCCTCTTGTTGGCCATTGAAGGAACCAATCGTCAACCATTCAAAGGTACAACCGTTCACTATGATATTCAACATTGCAACCATTCACAATGGTATTTGACCTTGCAATCATTGACCATGATATTTGACGTTGCAACTGCAACATTTGCTATGGTATTCAGGGCATTTGCAAGCCATCCACTCTCACTTCCGGTCACTTTTTGGGGTTAGTGTCAAGCAAACGGTTTAGGCTTTTTTTTGCCAGTCCACTCGATCGGAAGTGCGTCCGTGATTTCGAGAACCGTGTCTGACCGTAGCTGCAGTGCTGAGCCGCTTGCGTCAGACTCGCAAGTTCCAAGCTGCGGCGAGCTTTCGGTTGGGGTGTGTGAGTGCGTGTGTCTGTGTGTGTGTGTGCGTGCGTGCTTCAGAGTAATTGTGTTGCCTTTGTTTAAATGAAGCACAGCTTATGAAACATACCATAACATACCCATATTTTCTTGTATGGGTTAAACGTCACCGGTTGCCATTTTGAGTGGATTTCCTTATGCGGGGATGTTAGGAAACACAGTATGTTTGGCTACCCTCACTTTGGAGTGGACCCTTTGGTGGTTCCCCGAAAAAAAGGGGGTTGGTTTCAAAGGAAACCACAGGCAAACGACCCAAACATGGGGGGGTTCCTCAATTTGACACAGACCCACATCAACACATTGAATTGTGTGCAATGCTTAAAGGTGTTCCAACCATTTCCACTGCATAGTTGATACTTAGTCAGTCCAACATTTTGCGTTGGGACTGTCAAACTCTCGGTGGTTGGGGTTCCGGATGAAAATGAACCCCCGTTCTCGGAACACTCACTTGGGGCCTGAATATTTAGAAAGCCTTTAATGGGTACTTAAAAGCAAAGATTAGTTATGGGTTCGACTAAGTTGCAGCTAGGAGGAAGCGATTGCACATACAAAATAATTAAACATAATACCAAACAAATACAAAGGATTAGCTTTACAAATAAGTGAAGAACAGAAACACATACCAAATTTACCGAATAATACCAAACAACTAGAAATGGTGAACTTTGCGGACAACTTAAAAAAAAAAGGAGAAACCTGATGTGCTTTACTTCGCCACTCTGATGCGCTGGGGCCCATGGAACCCCCCCCATGGCCTGGGAACTATTTGCCGAGCGCCTGCCGTGGCTGTGTGGTGGTGGGAGCTCCAAGTGGTCGGAGAGATCCGACGATCGGAGGACTCCAAGTGGTTGGCCTGTCCTTTTTCTAGCGGGAAGTGGCCCCATTCTTTCAAGGGATCCGATTTTTTTCAGAAAACCATCAGAACTTCAGAACCCCAGGGGAAACAGCTGGTTTGTGAAAAGGGCACTTCCTTTGAACTTGATCAAAGTGGTTCAAGGGGTTGACTCCAAGTGGTTGACTCCAAGTAACAGCTAAGTGGTGGGTTAAAGCTAGGGGACACTTCCTTTGAACTTGCCTTTGAACCCTTTGAACTTGGTCACCCTCAATTGATCACAATTCTAGGAGTACCTTCCATTTCCATTCTTTCCAGGGATCCGAATCTTTCAAGAACCTTCTGAATCCCAGGGGAAACAGCTGCTTTGTGAAAGGAATGATGGTTGAAAAGAATGGGGAATCAAGCCACATTTCCTTTGGTTGTGGGTTCTCATTTTCATTTGGCTATGGGTCAAAAATACGTGCACAAAATGGGTTGCCCTGGCAAATGGAAGCATGGACTAAAACCTGCGGTCCCCTGGTGGTTTAATTTTGACCCATACCCCTTTTTCCCATTTAGCTGTGGCTCAAATAAATGTACCAAAATGGCAGCTTGGTAAATGGAACCAAAGACTAAAACTGCGTAACCCCAGCTCTTCGATTTCGAGCCACACCCAGTGGACTCGCCATCGTGTTTTTGTTTTTTCTGTTTCCCTTTTAAAGCCACACAAACCCCGATTTGTTGTTTTTCCCCTGTTGGTTTAAGGGAGATCTATCACTGCCTGGAATACGCTCATGTCTTCTCGGGGTTCCTAGAACAGGGGGGCTCACTTCCCGAACATAGAAGTTCCCCTTTTGGATGGTTTCAATGTGGAAAAAGGATGGCCTGCCATATATGCTCAAGTCCCCTGGAAAAATATGAAACACAAATCCGGTAATGACCTCCATTTGCTTAAGAACATGTTTTATTTTCCCTTGTTGGTCTTAAAAGGAATTCATCACTACTGAACATATTATTCTTGTTTTCCTGGGGCCTTAACCAAATAGAAGATGATAGATTCCCTTCAAACCCAACAGGGGGAAATCAACAATCCTCTGAAACCCGAATGGAAGAGTAGACAGTAGACATGGTATCATCTTGCAGCTTGCAACTACAATGAAATGGTCCCAAAAAGCGCCTATGGTACAGGAACTCAGGGACCTGCATGACGAGCTTTGGGGATAAAGGTTTCTTTCCTGGCGGTTCCAATTCTCATGTCGAGTTTCGAGGGATGCGGCGTCTTTCCCCAAATGGGAAGCCCGGTTCCTCACTCCCTGGGTGCCTGGCTTGGCCATTTGATGCTTTGGTACCCGTTTGAATGGCGAGCAAGATCCGCTCAGGAAGTAAATGGAAGCAAAGCCTTGCAAACGCAAACACGAGCAGGATGGGAAACAAGAAAGCAGCCTTGCACGTCAACGGGGAAGTTCTTTGCGTTTTTGTTTCAGCTTCCACGGAAGAGTTCGCAACGAGGCGATTTTTTTTGTTCAAGGCACGGGAGTGGATTGCCACAAAAACACCCAGATCGATGGGTTCGGCGTGTGACGTCCCTCTCACACTCCAAAACTGAAAAACAAGCCGACGGCAAAAAGGCCAAAAAGGCCGGCAGCTTCCGCTTCCATTGCCACCGAAGGGGTTTCCAAAGTAAACGGGGCCCGGTCGCTTGCACCAAATGGGTGTGGCTCTAAAATAGGAATCGGCCCAAAATGGAACCCCCTAGTAAATGGATAAGTAGACTAAACCCCGCGGTCCCCTGGGTCTTAAATTTTGAGCCACCCCCAAATGACAAGCATTTGTGTAGCATTCAAAAGGAACGAGTTAGAGCCCACGGGTCGCTCAAACCCAGGTTGGCTTTACAATTGCCTCGGCTCAGGGTTTTCTAGCACCATGCTCGAAGAAAAATGATACTAATCCACTCAACGTCAAACACTTCTCCGCCAACGGAGAAACCGGGCGACCAAAATACATCCAGACGCACTTTTTCAGGGAAGCACGCAGGTGTTCCACGGGCCGAAAAAGCATCGGGCAAGTCGAACCAAGTTCCCTCCATAAAAACAAAAAAAAGAAGAAGAGCAAAACACACACACACACACACACAAAAAAAAGAAACTAAACTTTGGGCAAAACAGAAATTCCCCCCCCCCTGACTCCCCTCCCTGCCGCCCTCCCGAGGTCCATCGTTCCCACCCGGCCATCTTCGGGGTCTTCCCCGTGCCCGAGGAGCCGGAGATCGACGAAACGAAGCCGAGCAAGTGGGGAACTTTTGTGTGAGAACTGCCGGCTTGTTTGAGCTGACTAGTTTTTACGATATGGCTGTAAAACCCGGTACCAAAATGGGTTGCCCTGGTAAGTGGAAACATGGACCAACACCTGCGCAACCCCTCCTGTTTAATTTTGAGCCACACCCATATGTTGGGCACCCTGAGAACTGCCTCTTTTTTATTTGATATTTTTCAGGTTCACAGCTTTTACTACGTGTTGGGTGAATGGTGATGAGAGGGGGGGCATAGGACGACCAATCTTAAACAACTAGAACTAAATGAAAGAAACTCGTTGGGTGATTATTTTCTCACCATCTCCGAGATCGTGACTTGTCAATGATCTGTTATCGAAATTGCTGATGGCCTTGGATCCTGTTAATTTTCGGGTGGAGGGGGGGTGCAAAGAACAAGAGACATGGTGCGGTTTTTGTTTCTTGCGACCCCCACAAGAAGCCAAAGCGGTTTCAAGGGCCTTTCAGGTATACGGGTTTGGCAGCTTTGAGGGCTATACATACTGCGTTACAAGCTTGACATGTGCAGATGCGCATACCTCCCAAACCATCTCTTGAATGTTTGGGCATGGTATGACGCTTGAACGTGCAATAGGCATGATAGAAAGGGGCAACAAGTGTCCACAACGCGCAAGAATATCTGAAATGGGATTAACCCATTTGGGAAGAGCAGCCTGGCCCTTGTGTTATGTCGGGCTCACACAAGGGGCAACATTTGCCACTGCTGTCCCTTTGGACGTTCACTTGGCCAAGAGTGCCGAGCCCTAAAAATCCTCACACCTTGGCCACAACTCGGAAATTGGAGATCCTCTGAGTGATCAAGTCGTCATTTGCAGGGAATCCTGTGACCAAACTATTGTTTTGTAACTGACTGTTCCAAGCCCACCCCCAGAAAACAAAAAAATGCATTATTGATTCTCAAAGACAGGGTCGCATTTTCTTTCCTCAACCATACGGCACAACCATTTGCAGCACCATGCCCTCCCGATTGTTGTTTTCCAAGTAATTCCTTGCCAGACCAATTCCCTAGCTGTTTTGACTTGCCTTTTGGGTGTCCTTCACGTGTCCTTTCCACCAACCAACTTGTTGCAGGGCGGATCCGTCAGGAGAGCGACGAGGATGGGAACTTCCAGTGGGATCCGGCAACGAAGGCCACTCGAGGGCGACGGCCGATCCGAGCCTCGATTGGCGCCATTGGTTGAGACTGCCAAACGCAACACACAAGACTTGTGTTTCATTTTTTTCTCGTTCTGTTCATTTTCTGTAGGGGACTGCAAAATTCAAGTTGTCTGCTACTATACCAAGGGTTGGAAACAAGATGAAACTCAGCCTGTCTCCCACGTTGCCATGGCACCTGACAGGGGGTTAGAGGAATTTGACGTACCCTCCAGGTGCCATGTTAGGGAGGGATGCAATTAAGCCGGCAGGCTGGTTGAGTTGGCAAGCTTATGTTTAGAATTTGGGCAATTCGCAACGAGCTCGCCTAGGGGTCAAACGAACTCATCCATGAAGCCTTGACTGGGGTTTCCCGTATTTCCTGTTTGGAAGTATAGTAATTTGTCCAGACTTTGCCAGGTTTCTTCATCTAGGTTCGGGCCAGAAAGTGTAGTCCTAGTCTCTAGCCAGTCAACTTTGCGTTTGTGTTTGTACCTTCGAAAGACCTCACTTGCTGTACTATAATTATAAGGGCCTGAGTTATGAAAATAGAGGCGTCATGTACTCGTACGAGAAATTAGTCATGATCAAAGGATCATACTGCCCTCATATTGATAGCAAGGGAACCGATCTTTAAAGTGAGGGCAATGCTTCATTCTGGTTGTTACTTTGCAAGTGTCAAATGTGGATGACACAGAAGATTATGCGAATCAGGGCCCCAGGGCTGGTTTCCATTGTCATACCAGCTGTAGTGCGGATGATGATGCAGGGATTCCTCCGATTAGAAGTTCCACCCAAGCTTACGTATGCATATGCACATGTTCCAACTGCAAAAGCGCTATGGAAGCAAATAGCGACCCTGCCATGGGAAAGCACAAGCGAGTGAACCCATGATGAATTCGCCTTTCTTGGACGATCCGACCCTTTTACTTTAGCCCTGTGCTGTTGTTATATGTAAAACCCCTTACTTCTCAAACTTCTAGACCTTGCCAAACATCGACACAGTTTAACGCTCTCGCATGCTAAATTGAGCAGGGCCCAAAAGTCCAATAATATAGACCATTGGCAATTTTAGTTCTGGGTTCTGCTTCCTTGCTTAACTGAGGTTAGAGTCGGTTAGAGTAAGTCCTACAATATAAACCTACATGGTTCTGCCAATTTGATAGCGAGCTCACCTGGTGGCGAAACGAGCTCGCCATGAGGTAAGGAGGTCTTCCACATGGGAATTCCCCTTTGTAACTCTGTAGGTTTTGCAAAATTGCAGATGGTTTGTGCCAAACGGGTGGTGGGCCCGATTCCCTGGCAAGTGGCGCAATTCTAGCAGGTATGAGTCACTTTGGTATTAAGGGGCTTCTGTTTTCAAGAAGGTTTCAAGGGCACACCACCATTCCGGAGGTCCGCTGAATTTGAGACGAAGCCTCGGCAAGGGTTGTGGTTCCACGCAGGTCTTTACAGTCGTCAACGGTAAGCCCTATCCCTGCTTCACGTGCGGGCCACAGCCACGGGATGCGATGGGGAATTTTCCTCCTCGGATAGGAAGGAGCGGTTGACAAGTCGCCAAGAACCGATTTACCCCGTTTTTGTGTATGGGTACCCTTTTCGGTGTGGGTTGTTTACCTCGTTTGTGTGTTGAAAGGAACGCATCGTGTTCTTTTTGTGTATGGGTACCCTGTTTGGAGTGAGTTTAAGAGAATCCGAAGGGAAAGCCTCACGAAATTACTTTGGGATCTGTTAGCTTCAGATACGCCAGGCACCCGCCTGGGAAAGGTCCTGTTTTCACACTTCTGCCTTTCATCTGCTTGGCGTTGTTCATTGCTTGGCTCTACGGGGAATGAGGTGATGACCGGGTTTTTCTGGTTTTGGAAGCAAGCCCATAGCAAGCCCAATTGCGGGAAGATTCAGTTTCATCTACATCTTTTGCAGTGCCCAGGTTTACTAGGGTTGGAAGCTCTTCAGAAGAAGTGCCCGCTTCAAAGTGTCACAGTCCAGCGGAGCCGTTTTGCTCCTCGTTTTATGCTCGTTCTTTTGTCAGGGTGGGCAACATTAATTGAAACAGCCCGACCCCAGGGCCACTTAAAGGGACGCCAGAAGGTGTTTGATTAGATCTATTTGGTTTGAACATGCTTAAGCAAGAAGTTGGCCCAACCCTTTTCATGTGTTGCTGTTTGGTGTATTCCCTTCTTCCGCAATTTGCTTCGTGGGCTTCACCTGTTCCTACGCTTCTGTTAGTTGGATCCCTTTGTCAAGCTCAAACACACAAGATAGCTGTTTTTCACGGCCATCCAAGCCAGGTTTGGCTAGTATGTAATTTACTTGTTGTTCCTCTCAGATGGTTTGACACAGGCATGTTTGTGGACCAGCCGAGGTATCTTACCTTTCTTCGGATGCATGTCCGAGATCGAAATGGCCAGCGATTTGAAGTAGGCGGGAAGAATGGAGCACGTTCGTAACTTCTAGCTTGTGCTATTGCGGTTTCTGTTGTGGTGGTGTTCAAGGATTGTTTGAGTTTGTAGCCGTTGTGGGAAAATTGTGAAACCCCGTGATTTCTGATGTCTACCAAAGAGCGGCCTATTAACACACATGATCTATATAGTATGTCCAAAAGGGGTGGATTCACCGCCAACACGTCATCTCACCTCCCTTTTTGGCGTGTACTTTTTCCAAACAGCGATGGCCTGTAGCTGAGAGCTCCTTTGTTCTGCGGCTTCGCTTTATGTTCCGGAGGTTTCGGGGTGTTATGGGGCGTATGTATTTAGTTCTTCACTGTTGTTGGCAGACGGGGGCTTCAAAAAATAGAAGCAGTTTTTCACCACCACAGGGTTTGAAACGATTTTTGCAGGCCCTACTATGGCCCTACTCACTCCCGACTCAAAATACTGCGAAGTTATTTTGGTCAAATCAACTCAAATGAGGAGTCTGGAAAGATTTTGACCAAACATATAAACCATCCTCATACTCCAATGAATACTGTCAATCCACTTCTGGCAGGGTCTGTCTTCTTTGAGGGACCCTCCTAAGATGGCGGTTTTCTTTTGGCTTCCCCGTAAAGACCACCTACCACAAGAGCCCCCCCACACACACACACCCCTTTCTGGCAGGCCTGACGCGCTCAGATGCCGGGCTCGAGGAGATGGCTTTGCCGCCCGGGCTGAGAGGGGTCCAGAGGAAGCAGTTTGGGAGAAGATTCGCATTTGGCTCCGAATCCATCCGAATCCCCCAAACTTGGCAGTGAATAGTTTGGCCCCTTGAAGTTAAGACCCTTTTGGTTTTGAATCCATCCGAATCCCCAAATTTGGCAGTGTACAGTTAAGATCGTCTTCGGAAGCCCAAGGCATCGTGTAGGGGACTGGTTGGGCACCCAGGGAACCTCTGGAGAATCAGTCGTTTGGAAGCCTTCCAAGGACCAGTTCTCAATGAGGTTCCAAAGCAACGGGCGTACACAAACCAAGCGAGCGGGTTCGAATCTGGGAAACAGCACAAGACCGTGGTTGGAATTCACGAACTAGCTGCCGGGGTAGTTGGCTGTTCCTCAAAATTGTGGATCCCTGGTTCGGTTGGTGGGTAAAGGGAACGAAAGCAGGAACACCAAATTGTAGCGAGCTTTATGTTGAGAACCTCGATTTGCGAGTAAGTTGGAATTGCTGGGAGGTTTGACCAAGATCCGCTTCCGAGGGATTTTGGGACTCACCAAATCTCTCACAAAAGCCAAGGGCATTGTCCCATGTCCTTGGGCACAATGCAGAAGAAAGCAGAATCTGGGCGAAGCCGTACCCCCCCTACCCCCCTACCCCCCGGAAGGGTTCTCATCAGACCCTTGGGGCAGGGCCACTGAAATCTGAAACCGCCGAGGACCTTTGTGGTGGTGGCAGACCCCATGACCGCAGTTCGCCTGGGAGCCACGGAGGTCGGGGGAAAAACCGAACCATAGGTGTCCTTTCTGGTTGGTTTGGTCGAAAAATAGAAGGCGATTCCTGGTTTACCTGGTGGTTCCATCGAACAGAACCCTACTGTGGATGGACAGAATCCTTTTCGCACCTTGAAAAAATGGAAACCCTTGTTAGGTATTTACAGGGCGAACATTATTCCAGGGTTTCTTTTCGTCTCCGAGTTTCATTTCCAGGCGATTCGCTTTATTCCTCTTTGGTTTTGCAAAGTCTGGGTAGTTTAGTTTGCTCCAATTGGGCGATCTCGGAATTTGATTTTCGAGCGACATGGTTTTGGCCGGCAAAACGGGGCTGCTGCGAATCTCAAAACCATGACATAGGGGCTAAAGTCTACCCTGGTGACAATGTCTTTGCTGCAACCCTGCAAATGTAAGAAGGGCCTAGATAAATAGCATGGAAGTGCGGGGTACTTTCAACCCACATCAAGTCATGATCACACTTGAACAACCTCGGCAATCATTTTAGCGATTTTTTTATCTTGCTCAACGTTTGGTACCATCTTACATCTTTGCCCTTGACTACAGTGACGGTGGTCGCAAATGCTCAAAAGACTTCAACCCTTGGTTTAGGGTTGACTCAGTTGTTCAAAGACGACCTTTGACCTTTTGGTTTTCCAATTTTGGTCTAGTTTTAGTAGAGGTCCCAAAAGATTAACCTTTTATTTCCAGGTCCTTTGGGCAAGTGAGCAAGTGAGTTGAAGGTTGACCAAGATATTGTTTACGTCGAGGCGCCGTTTCCGTCCGATCCGCCCTTTCTCCCCCGAAGAAGCCGCAGGCGCCGCCCACCGACGGCTTCTTTGCCATTGGGCTGGAGAGGCTCACAGTGGCCGCAAAGCTGCAAGGCGAGTGCTAGAGGGATCCGGACCCCCCAAAGTAGTGGGTTTCCGCTTGGCCTCCATTTTTGTCCAACCTTAAAAACGGTGTACCCTCAATAAACAAATCACCATCTCAAAGTTACCATCTCATAGTTGCCTTCAAAGCCGGTTTAAGCACCACTTGGTGGACCAATTTTGGCTGATGTTCCTCTTGGTTTCATATGGGGGAGTCTTAAACATAGGCTGGTGTTGAATGTTTCACGCTGCCCGCTCCCAGCCACTCACATGGAAGCTGTGGAGGTTCTAGCGGAAAGGGGCCTAACTAGTAGGATCTATTCTCACCCCTTTCGGATGCTTCCACCGTTGCGGGGCCCTAGGCAACATAGGGAAGTATGTTCCTCGCTCTATATAAAGCCTTTCATGAATCGTGCCCTTCATCAACTGGCTCGGTGGCCAGATGGCTCAATGGAAGTTGAACCCTAGGGGTTCAACAAGGAATCTCAATTTACAGAATCCAGCAACAGGAAGTTGGCCTTCAACAGCAACCAAACACAAGTGCTTTTGCTGAATCGTCCTGGTTCACTGGCTTCTGTCACTTCCCCAAAGCCGCCTTTCTGCTCTTTACTTTTCCCTTGCTGGCTTACGTTTAGTCACTCCCAAAGGTCAACCGGCAAGTGAGTTCCTGGGTCAACACGGGGACGAAAGAATCCGGCTGGCCACCTTCGGGTCAACGCAAAACCCTGCGCGGCGACAACGGCCTCGTTCAGTGCCATGATGCGATTCCGAGGCTCCTGCAGTGCCGCCTTTGGTTTCCCAGGCCGGAAGGGCAATCTCTGTGTGATGGAAACACATTTCTTGGGTGTCCCTCTGAAGATTGGTGAGTTTGGCGAGACCCCATTTTATGTGTGTGTGTGTGTGTGTGGTAAACAAAAGTCGTTCTTGGAGGGCCATCCACTCAAGAAGTGAGCAAAGGGAAACCCAAAGAAAACTCTGGCCATCTTATATGCCAAGCCTCTTTTGACGACCTGTGTTCCAACCGAAATCAACAAAGCTCCAATCGGTTGGCAGCATCATCAACTTTGACACGTTGTGTCTCGAGATTGACAGTTGGCGCATGCCTAAACTACGGCCTTTCTGAACGTTTGTGTGATAAATGTTACTTGCAACTGGGGGCTCTTTGAAACAAAAACACCAAACCCGTCTTAGGGTTCACAACAGTACGGTACAGACGTACAGACTCGTATTGTTGTTTGGTTGGTGGCAGCTGAGGTGGGCCGAGGTACGGTACAATATGAAGACTGCCCTCGCTTTTGGCCAAGTAGAGCCTTTTTTGATGGTTTGCCCCCCCCCCTTATCAGCGAGTCCCTTTTGATGCGGATCTAAGTAGAACCCATCCTATAAAAAGGGTGGAACAACTGGCCGCTCAAGTGCTTTGAATCGGATGTATGCTCAACCATTTGAGAGGTGGTTCTGACTCACACAAGATTCAAGGGCATTCGTTTAGCAGAGGATTTACAGTGGCAAGACACATCGTCCTCGCTGGTCTGTCATGGTTTATCGCCACCCAGTAAGTGACTGGCCTACGGGATGATGTTGAAATACTGAACTTGCCAAGTTATGTTATCACACACATATCCCTATATGTCCCCCTTTTAGTGGCTCTGAATTCATCATTTTGGCTGCCTTATGGTTGAACAGTGAGTTCCCTTCTGGAGAATTAAAGCCACGGTGGAGTAACCTACGTATCCCTGGCGTTGGTTTTAATCTTTTCTCCACATCGAAGCCGAATCGAAGCGCTCAGGTTTTCAACACTCGACTCGCCTCGACTCGACTCGTCAGGACCCCTCGGGCTTCGGCTTCCCGCTGCCGGAAGAGTTCGGGCCCTACCTCTGCACCCAAGGCGTGGGTGGGCACCTCACCCACTTCTTCCCGGACGCTTTGGGCGCAGATTGACCTTTTTTTTGTGGGGGGAGGGGGATGGAAGTTATCAATATTTTTGGGGGGCGAGGGAGGCCTTGGGGGGAGATGGGAATGGATGTTGGACATATTCATGGTTGTCGTTGGGAAACATTTTACATGTTTGCTTATTGTGGTTTAGTGGGAAATGCCCACTTACCTGCTAACATTTATTTTTTTGCTCCCCTTCCAACGTCAACCAGTATTAAACGTTCAACGGGATCCCTGAAGGAAGGCTTCTATTGGGAGCTGTTGACTCTCTTGGTTGAATATAAGCAGGGGAGCGCTAAAAAGGTTTGTAGAGGGCGATGGGAAGCGGCCGGCCGGTCGATCTGCGACCGATCAGGGTGACCTGTTTTCGCGAAACCTCCAAGGACGGTACAACCCTTAACTTTCGGATAGGCATGGTCATGAACCTGCAGTTTCGCATGTTGAGAACCACCACGGCCATGTATATGATGTTCAATTCAAGAACCCCCCTTGAAATGGCTGATGAACATAAACCCCAATGTACATTATGTCTGCCAAAGCGTCCCCCAATATACACCCACCTTCGTGGAGCTTTGGATCTTGTGGCCTGTTGGGTTCCCTGGTCCATGATGAGTCAAGGTCCCCTTTGGGGCGACCGTTTATGATGAGCTCCTGGCAGTTGAGTAAGTCAAATCCTACCCACAGGGGCTTTTTTTGCACCACTGGGGTTCCTTTCTCCATTTGGTGGGCACCATTCGGAGTTCCTGCATTTCCCTTTCTTGGAGCTCCAAAAGTGGCGATCGGTTCAACGGAACCCACCAGTAAATTGATCAACTTCAGGGGGAAATGCCTGTGACCTCAGTTTTTTGTTGGGTTCCTTCCGGTTTTTGGGCATATCCTGGAGTCATCCACCCCTAATCCAAGGAAAGCTACCACGCCATCGACTTCCGTTGCGCCAATCACACTCCGGTGCTGTCCATCGGTGACGGAGTGGTCAAGGAAATCGCCGAGTCCCACAAGCGCCTGGGCTTTGAGTCAAGCCGTGGCTCAAAAAACCGGAGAACCAAAATGGGTATGGCTCAAAAAACCGGCACCAAAATGGAACCCTGGTAAGTGGAAAAATGGACCAAAACCTGCGTAACCTTAGCTCTTTAATTTTGAGCCACTGCCAAAATGGTTTGCCCCGGTTGGAAACATGGACCAACACCTGCGGTTTGCCCCGCCTGTTTGATTTTGAGCCACACAATTGGGCGTGTTGTTTTGAGGGTGGACGCCCCCCAAAGAAGTTCCACACATCTTTGCTTGCCCCTTTTGCCTTCTCTTGCCTCCAGTCTTCGGGCAAGTTTGGAGTTAAGAGGTATCAACTTCTGTACCCTTGTTTGGAGGAGCAAACCGTTCTCCCTTTTTTGGAGCCGCAGATTCACAGGGATCCCTCTACTCATGCAAAAAACATGCTTACTTTTTGTTGGGTCAGTCCACACAGTGTGTACAGGGGCGCGGCACCCTGTGTTGGAAGCCCTTACTATGCAGGTACGAGACAAGTTCACGCCCACTAGTGCCAATGGGCTATGATTCGGCTGTGATGCTTTTGTTTGTTTGCGTGCAATCACAACAGACGCCCCCTCCCTGTTGTACCCTGAGCAAGGGGCATTGTCGATTTGGATGTCCTTCGAAGTTTCCTCCTGCTGGGAAGCTTGACAAATGAAGAATACAGTGATGTAGGATGTTTGGGGGAGGCGCTTCACGATCCAGAAGCATCATGAGTTGCCCGGATTGGTCGACTGTGGGTTCCTGACAAATATCGCCTTTCAATTGATGTCAAATGCTGCTTCAGTCAAGCTTCCATCATGTGGCACAGGTTCACTTTGGTCCCTCAAAATGGATTTTTGTATTTCGATCGGTAAAAAGGGTTACGCAAAACAGAACACTGCCAAAGATGGGAGTACACTCAAGGCCATGGAAAACTCAGCAATTTACTCAGGTACAGATTAACGGAAGGAACCCCCTGAAATACCCAACCATTTGTGGTTTGGGAAACTCGGGCTATGGCTTTGCTTTGGGCTCCTTTCGTTCATTTGCAGGGGAGTAGGGGTCTCCTGGTTCCTCCTAGAGTCTCCATGACCCCTAAAAAATGGGTCCATGACCCCTTAATTTTGCCTAATGACTCATTTTTTAAGGGTCACGGAGACTCCAGGCTTGATTGGGGGCATCCACTCGTTCCATGTCAGGTGCGGGGGCATCCATGCGGCCCATCTCGCCGTCTGGAACTCCATCTCGGCCTCCCGGATGTCACGTAGTCGAGTTGCTCCCCTTTTTGTCTGGGATCTTCCTGGGCGAGTTATACTACGTCCCCCAGTAGTGCCCGGTTCCCCTACTAAAATAGACTACAGAAAAAGGGTACCCTTATTCTATAAGGACCTAGATTATAACGACCTCACACGACCTCACCCTAAATGGTGGTTGATGTGGGGCATAGCCCCCAAACCACCTGATTTCAGGCTGGTGAAATATTATACTTCACCCAGAGTTTCAACTGGGAAAGCACCGGAACACCTCGAAAGCACCGGTCTCCAAGCCAGAGAAAAGCTGAATTTAGCGGATGGCCGATTTTACCCGTAGCCAACGGAACCCACAAAATCGCAGATTTCTGAGGTTTCCAAGCAGGCCAGAGCTCTGTGTATGCTGGCTGGAGCCCCGGGGTCATGTTCTTTTCGGGGTCTCACCAAATGCGGGGGGCTTCCCTTTTGGTGTCCCTTAAAAAGTTGCCAACCAGGTACCCCAGAAACGGAGACACCGGCGAACACCACCCGGGCCCGGGGAGTTTCTCCGATGGACAAGGTTTGCGTCGGGGCGAAACCTTGAGCATATGAAGGGAGACCGGCTCGAAAAAAAGGGGGTGGAACAGGCCTTGGGGGTTCAAAGTTGATGTTTCCTCTTTTGAGAAAGGGTGCGAAGGGCGCCGGAGACAAAAGCTGACAGAAGGCGCGTTCGAAGACGGTTCATTTGAGACCGGACGTCGGTTTTTGGTGGCGGCTCATATCAAAACTATTTGCCAGGGATTCACTTGGAGATGATTCTGAACCCCTCAATTGAGACCAATGTAAGAGTTTCTACCCAGCTAATCATAAGGATGCCATGGGTGGTTGTCCTTTGGTTTCTCTTTTCAGACACCCGCAGCCTCGTAAAAGCAGAAACTCAACTTCAAGACTGCGTATCTGTTTATGAGTGGCCCTCTTTTTGCTGAACACCCTACTTGCACTCGCACCAGGAGCTCCCCACCCCCTAAAAAAGGGAAATTGACCCCTGGAGATCTCTTGTAGTTCCATTTTCCCTTTTGTGGGGACTAGCAAAATGGAATTGGGGCCCCTCCCCGATAAGGTAGGGGGGATAGGAGTGTTGAAAGCTGCGAGGTGCTTCTGGCCTCGGGTATTGTCGTTGAGTATTTGCACACCTTGCCGGGATCTGCTCGAGTGAAGGCGCGTAAGCTTGCGCGCGCGCGAGCGAGTCCGACTCCTGTTTGGCTCGTTTTGGGTCAATGTCCCGGCTTCGATTTGCATGATAGTATGTGTTAGTTGGCCCCTGTTGGCTTTCTTTTAAGGTATCTACCACTTCTGAAAATGTTGTTTTATTTCTTCCCAGGGAACTTAAACAAGTGGAAGCTCGGCTTCTCATGGCATTCAGGGATCACCCACATCACGTTGTGCTTGCTGGGTGCTAGAGAAATTGAGCGAACCAGCCAAAAAGGGTTGCTTTTTCGTTCCACCGTTTAGGTCACTGGTCACGGGGCGTCCATTTGCTTGGGGCCATGTTGTTGATCGATGTGTCAAGTCACCCCCAATTGGTGGCTTGGATTGGTGTGTCGGGGGTTGGAACCCCTGGTTCTTGTAGAGTGTAAAGACGAAGGCGCTCCTTAACCTCCAAACCACCAGTCTCCAAACCACCAATCGACGGGCAGGCTGATGTCTTTCTGCATGCGGCCCCGCAAGGGGCAACTCGTGCTTTGTCAAGATCGTGCGGTGCCATTTGTATTTCTTGTAGGGTGGGGACCCCCCCCTTCAAATCAAGCAACAAAAAGAATCAGTCCATGTTTGTTGCCCTAAAATCAACACCCTTTGGCCTGTGAAGCAGTGAAGACCTGAATTGGGTCTTTCAGAAAGCATCAAGCAATTTCCAAGGGCTTTCAACTGGTACCCTGAAAGCCCCTTCTGTGAGATATGTGTGGCAATGCCACAACTCTCGGAAGCTGCCAGATTGTGTTGTTCTTTGAATACAAGCCTGCATTGCATTGCTTATAGCCTAAATCTAGTGTTTTGTTCTTTGAATCAATTCCATTGGTTATTTTTTCCGCCGATACCCGCTCCTGGAAAGCAGTCTCTTCCTTTTACAGGGACCCAAGTGAAGGTTCTACCCCCTACAGATTGACGTGGAACCCAAGTCCATTTCCCAACACGAGATTCCTCTCAAGATGGTTTGTGGATTCCATGCTTTGAGTATGTTGATTTTCCTGGACAAGCTCCTGCACCAATTGGGAGAAATACATCCCCATGACCAGGATCTAAACTTGGTCCTAAGCATGCAAACTCTTCAAGTTGCATGATTTACTGTCCTGAAGGTCAAAAACCTTTTATTGAGAAAAAACACACACACACACACACACAAACACGTGTTGTTCAAAGCCTTTTATTGAGAAACCAGACACATTTTTTTGTTTTGGCCGGCGTCGAGGGAGTCTGACTGGGGCGTTTTCCGGTGGAAACAACCGAAACGTGGCCGCCACCAGGTGGGCGAGGAGGTGCGGCGGGGCCAAGTGCTCTGCGAGAGCGGGGACATCGGCTTCGCGCCCGAGCCGCGGCTCGGCGCAAATCTTCGGCGGTCGGCGCAGTGGGCGGATTTCGCGTCTTGCGGCGGTCGGGTTCGATAGGAAGCCCCTGAAATGGGGGATTTGGTGCTTACGGGGGGGGGGGGTAGTTGAGAGGATTCGGGTTTTGTGTGGGTTTTGTAGGGTTCCTTTGGTTCTCTGGGTGTTCAATCAATTGCGGAAACACCTCAGGTCAGCTTCGCTGCAATTGGTGGTTTGGAGCTCGGTGGTTTGGAGGTGTTGGGTTAAGGGGTGGTTTCCCATCTACCCTCTTCAAGAACCAGGGGCTTAAATCCCCATGCACAAGCCACCAACCCAAACCACCAATTGCGGGGAAGCTGACAAGGGGGGTAGGTAATTACTAGGGGTACCTTCCAAGCATTCTTCCTGGGCTGACCAGAGAGTCACTAGCCAAAGATTGTTCAGTCCGCAAACTGGGAAGTAAATTCCAGGTGAAGGTTCGGGAACAACGGTGACACATGTATTGGGCAATGTTGAGCCCGGATTAAACACGTCCTGTTAATAGGGGGTGTCCCCTTCCAAAGTGATGACCTTCCAACCATTCTTTCCAGGGATCCGAATCTTTCTTTCGGCAACACAGGACCACGACGATCGGTGTTTGAAAAGAACGATTGTTGAAAAGACGCGGGAATCAGCCCCTAGATAATGGTCCATTTGTTGGCCTGGCCCCAGAAGGTTAGCCTGTATTTCTGGGTTTAATGGGCAATGATGATGAGGAGACAAGCCCCAGTTATACCAGTTATAACCATGGTTATAACCTACTTGCTGTACCTGACGTTGGTTGAACATCCAAGCAGGAGGTTTCTCCAAAGCAATCGAACCAGCAAGACAGTTCCCCTATGAACACTACCTAAGGGGATCTTTTTGTTCATTCCCAAAGCCCCTGTTGACTCCTTACCCCGCCCAGAACACCCCGTGCCGAAGATAAACCGGGCACCATCTTATTGGCAGGTGTTTTGTTTTCTGCTTTACAGGGAACCACCTACCACACACAAGCTAAAAAACACATTGCACCCACAGGGTGTCTGGACAAATTCCCTACAGGACTAGGTGTTTCTCAAACAATTCCCCAATGCTGCAATGCTGAATTTCCTGGTGGCTTTCCTTTTGGTCCCACCAGTCAATTTCTCACTTCCGTAGATTGGCAACAAACAAGTCATCAAACGCTTTGCTTGCAACTTAAAGAAACCAGCAAGCTCTTTATACTCCACAAGAACCAAAGGGGAAGCCGAAGAGAGGCGGCCAAGTGAGCCCTTGCGATATCCTCACCTCCTCAAATATGGAGTTGGGGGAGGGACTGCGACCCCTGGAATGAATTCAATTTTTGGCAGCCCAGATAAATGATAGTTGGGTCGCGGACGTCCCCACCTTTTTGCCCCTTGTCTTGCTGGTGCTCAGTCGGGAATTGAGGGGACCGCCAGGTTCATTCTCACATTTCTATCGGTTGATTGCCCATTCTTTTCAACCATCGTTCTTTTCGAAAACCAGCCGTTTTTCCTGGGTTTCCGGAGGTTTGCTAGAAAGATTCGGATCCCTGGAAAGAATGGAAATGGAAGGTATCCCTAGAACATTCCCTACTCGCACCAGCATGGTACCGGGGGATCTTTTTGTTCGCATCGCGAGGCACCTGCACGTGGAGCTCCACACGTTGGAGGAGCCAGAGGGCCCCACGCTGCCGCTGAGCTTCGGGCACGGCGACGCAAGCGCGAAGCCCCAATGGGAGAGCGCAGGGGCTTCGGGGAGTGTCTCCTGAAAAAAAAAAAGAATGGGGCTAGAAAAGATTGATCTGAGTTGCCCAGTATTTACTAATGCGACGCGAGCTAAACAATGAACTCTCGTAACATGCCTTTCTTTCTTCGAATTGCTGGAATGAATATGTCGTTATTTTCTCTGTTTTTTTGTTTTGGTTTTTTCTTTAGGGTTCGCTTTTGGGGAAGGGGTGAACGACTTGCTCCACATAGCTTTGTTTCGTTGGTTTTGTTTACAGTTGTGACTCGACTCCAGTAGATCTCAGGCAAGCCTTTGTAGTACTTGGAGGCAACCCTACATGTTCCATTCAGTTATTGAAGGGTGGGGTTTCTTGGGCTACCTGCTAGAGTAACTGAATTTGCAGGATGTTTACATTAAAATTAGGGGGTCTTTGTTTGGAATTTCTCTCACTTGGGGCTGAAGATAGTGAACTGTATAGCAGGGGCATTTGGACTTTGTCTGAGTTCCTGGACTTTAGGGAAAAGACCATTTTAGTGGCAAACAAAAGGTTTGGTTACTTTTTTCTGGCGCAACTCAGGAAGTGAGTGAGTTTTGGGTTCCATGCAAATCTGTAGGGGAGCAAGACTTGCTCCCCCAAGTGAGTCACAGTCAAAACCCGGGTAGTTGGAGGGTAGTAAGGGGCAATCCCAGCCATAAATGGTTGCGGCCGCCTTGTTAGTTCTTTACATGGTTCTGGGATTACGACCATTTAATACCGGGTTTTGTTTTTGACCCAGCAAGAATGGTACTGATGTGGTTTTGGTGTCATTGTGGTTTCCCAAACAAAAAAGTTGCACCGAAACCTGTTGCCAGGTTTTGTGCCGGTTGCCGGCGGCTGGTACACCCCTGCAGGGGAGGCGCGCTTCGTTTTGGGGAGGGTTCCATGTTTTTTTTGACCCACAGCCAAATGTGCGTGCGTGCGTGCGTGCGTGCGTGCGTGCGTGCGTGCGTGCGTGCGTGGGTGGGTGGGCGGGGTGTTGGGTGGGTGGGTGGGTGGTGGGTGGGTGTGGTGGGTGGGTGGGTGGGTGGGTGGGTGGGTGGGTGGGTGGGTGGGTGGGTGGGTGGGTGGGTGGGTGGGTGGGTGGGGTGGGTGGGTGGGTGGGTGGTGGGTGGGTGGGTGGGTGGGTGGGTGGGTGGGTGGTGGGTGGGTGGGTGGGTGGGTGGTGGTGGGTGGGTGGGTGGGTGGGTGGGTGGGAGTGGGTGGGTATGGGTGTGCGTGCGTGCGTGTGTGCGTGTGTGTGTGTGTGCGTGTGTGCGTGTGTGCGTGTGTGCGTGTGTGCGTGTGTGCGTGTGTGCGTGTGTGCGTGTGTGCGTGTGTGCGTGTGTGCGTGTGTGCGTGTGTGCGTGTGTGCGTGTGTGCGTGTGTGCGTGTGTGCGTGTGTGCGTGTGTGCGTGTGTGCGTGCGTGCGTGCGTGCGTGCGTGCGTGCGTGCGTGCGTGCGTGCGTGCGTGCGTGCGTGCGTGCGTGCGTGCGTGCGTGCGTGCGTGCGTGCGTGCGTGCGTGCGTGCGTGCGTGCGTGCGTGCGTGCGTGCGTGCGTGCGTGCGTGCGTGCGTGCGTGCGTGCGTGCGTGCGTGCGTGCGTGTGTGTGTGTGTGTGTGTGTGTGTGTTGGTCAGTATCCTCTCTTTTTCTTTGTTGGTGTGGTTTTCACTGCCCGTTGGGTCTGGACCTTGTTAGTTACTAGTTGTAAATAGACAGTTTAGTATCTCTTTTCGGCCAATCCGCGGTCATTTTTGTTCGCCCACTTTGGCCCTTGAAAGGGTCTTATTTTGCCCACTCCATGTGAGTCGTTTTTTTTTTGTGGGTACCCTTCTTTGGAGCCAAGAGGAAACCGCAATTTGGGGATTCCCAAAAACAAGAGATACACCCAGATATAGTCCAGCAATGCTTCAAAGGCCCGCAAAGTCTTGCCATGTCGCCCGATGGGTAAGCCAACAAGTGGCCCACTTGATATGCCTACCACATATGTTTCTTGCCATTGTCTTTTTTGGAGCGCCCCCTTTCGAGTTTCTTTGGTGCATTTTGCCAAGGGATGTTATGACTTCAACTTTTTGCCAACTAATCGCTTTTCCATGCTAACAGTTAAACTTTTAGCGGAGCAGAAAGCAGCCGAGGTTTGTTGCTTTTGGTTTTTCTATGAGGCGACCCTATGAGGGAACGCAGGCGGCTCCTTGGAAGGCGGGGGTGCAACATGGCTCGCGGTGCGTAGAGCCCCTGACAGGTGCCAGCCCCGGGCGACGCCAAGCTCGGCCGTCCGCGGCTTATCATCGTCGGCTCGGCTTTTTTTGAGGGACCCCGTTGCTTCCATTTGAATTTAATATGTTTTTTCCCCCGGTTGGTGTTAAAAGGAATTGATCGCTACTGGACATATGATTATTTTTTCCCTGGGGCTTCAGCAAATGGAAGCTTTTGGGCTAGCTGAAACAAAGGAAGCCGAAAGAGAGAACCGTTGCGCCATGTTCGGGGTTTCTTATACAAGAATCAGGTATCGGGTACCCCTTGGTTGGTGATTTGGATTGGTTTGGATTTGGATTTGAAACCGTCGCGCGCCAAAAGCCACTTTGGAGGAGTCCCATAAAACAAGACACCTATTCACACACACACACACATCATTATCGTATAAGATCATTCCCCCGAAGAGGATAGGTTTTAATAAAAGACAAACCCAATTTTGTGTGGGCTCCATTCCTTTTCCACTGACCACATTTCTACCTTGACAATTGATTGGGGCTTTGGAGCACATCTTCATTTGCCCTGTGAATTCGTTGCCACGAAAGCGGGGCCGATGGATCACGGGTGCTACTCGGATGGCATTCCATGTTGGAAAGCCCATATTCCGACTCGGGTGGCTAGAAACCCAAGATGTTTTCATCGACGGAAAACCACAAGGGGAGCGATGTGTCTTCCCCCCTCAAGATTCAAGAAACGCCAGGACCACACAAGCCATTTTTGGGGTAGGTGTGGTCCATCCTTGGAGTTTTTCCTTGGCACCAGCACCTCACACCACAAATATACAGCAGGATTCAAATAAGACTTCTCATGATCCCACAATGGGTGTGTGTTTTTTATAGGTTGGACCCCCTAAAATGGCAGTTGTTCCTTCTCCCAATCCCCACTAAAATATCTAAAATGGGTGGTACGCCAATCCCCCAAAATGGGATCCCAAAACGCTGTTGACCCACAGCCAAATGTTTGGCCTTTTTCAGCGCTCCTTAAAAGATACATATTGCCCATTTGAAACATTGCTTTTTCCACCAAAATAAAAAGAAACCATTTACAAGTTGCAATGATCAGGTGTTTTTTGTATAATGTAAGGATCCTGTTTTCCATTGGACCCCTTGGGCACAGATTCGTTGAGGCGTCGTCTCCAAGTCCCGGAAGAGCGCGCGCCAGAAGCGCCTGCAGAGGTCGATTGGGTTCGATGTCAAGGGGTCCGGCAGAGTGTTGCACGGGAGCTGGATGTTATCCAAAATTTGGAGGGGAGCCGGGTGTTTTTCAAAATTTGAAGGGTAGGCAGAGTTTGAAGGGGAGCTTGGTGTTTTTCAAAATTTGGAGGGTATAGCTGAGTGGTTTCCAAAGTTTCAAGGTAGCTGGGTGGTTTCCAAAGTTTCAAGGGGAGCTGGGTGTGCTCCAAACTTTGAAAGCTAGCTGCATGCTTTCCAAAGTTTGAAGGGTAGCTGAGTGGTTTCCAAAGTTTCAAGGTAGCTGGGTGGTTTCCAAAGTTTCAAGGGGAGCTGGGTGTGCTCCAAACTTTGAAAGCTAGCTGCATGCTTTCCAAAGTTTGAAGGGTAGCTGAGTGGTTTCCAAAGTTTCAAGGTAGCTGGGTGGTTTCCAAAGTTTCAAGGGGAGCTGGGTGTGCTCCAAACTTTGAAAGCTAGCTGCATGCTTTCCAAAGTTTGAAGGGTAGCTGAGTGGTTTCCAAAGTTTCAAGGTAGCTGGGTGGTTTCCAAAGTTTCAAGGGGAGCTGGGTGTGCTCCAAACTTTGAAAGCTAGCTGCATGCTTTCCAAAGTTTGAAGGGTAGCTGAGTGGTTTCCAAAGTTTCAAGGTAGCTGGGTGGTTTCCAAAGTTTCAAGGGGAGCTGGGTGTGCTCCAAACTTTGAAAGCTAGCTGCATGCTTTCCAAAGTTTGAAGGGTAGCTGAGTGGTTTCCAAAGTTTTTCAAGGGGAGCTGGGTGTTTTCCACAGTTTGAAGTGGAGCTGAGTGTTTGTCAACGTTTGAAGGGGAGCTGGGTGTTTCCCAAATTTCAATTGGAGCTGGGTGTGTTTTTGGTTTTTTGTTGTTTGTTTTGTTTTGCAAAGTTTGAAGGGTAGCTGGGTGTTTTCCAAAGTTTCAAGGGTAGCTGGGTGTGCTCCAAGCTTTGAAAGCTAGCTGCATGCTTTCCAAAGTTTGAAGGGTAGCTGAGTGGTTTCCAAAGTTTCAAGGTAGCTGGGTGGTTTCCAAAGTTTCAAGGGGAGCTGGGTGTTTTCCACAGTTTGAAGTGGAGCTGAGTGTTTGTCAACGTTTGAAGGGGAGCTGGGTGTTTTCCCAAATTTCAATTGGAGCTGGGTGTGTTTTTGGTTTTTTGTTGTTTGTTTTGTTTTGCAAAGTTTGAAGGGTAGCTGGGTGTTTTCCAAAGTTTCAAGGGGAGCTGGGGAGCTGGGTGTTTGTTTTTCAATGTTTGAAGGGGAGCTGGGTGTTTTCTAAAGTTTGAATGAGATCTGTTTTTTTTTGTGCAACGTTTCAAGGGTAGCCTGGTGTTCTCTAAAGTTTGAAGGGGAGCTGGGTGGTTTCCAAAGTTTGAAGGGGAGCTGGGTGTTTTCCAAAGTTTCAAGGGGAGCGTTGCCAAGCTTTGAAGGGGAGCTGGAGGTTTTCCAAAGTTTTAAGGGGAGCTGGGTGTTTTCCAAAGTTTGAAGGGTAGCTGGGTGTTTTGCAGGGTGAGTTTTCTTGCAAGAGACAAAGAGTTGTCCGGGGCTCTTTGTCTCCAATCGCTGCAACTGCTGATTTGCCCGCTCAAATTTTGATTTTCCCCTGGTTGACCCCTGTTTTGTCATGGGATACAGGGCTCCGGGTGGCCGCAGGAACCCGCTCATGGGATACAGGAACCCCTCCCCTTTAAAAGGCTCCGGTTCGATTGTTTCTGGGCCCTCAAACCTAGTGGTTTCCAGGGCTATAGCCCGAAGAATCGGCGGGGTGAGCTTTTGGGAACATGGCACCCATTTTGCCAGTCGGCACCCAGAGATCTTTCAAGGTCGGTGCTTGCAACTCAGCCCGTAAAAAAAAAAAAAAAAAAAAAAAAAAAAAAAAAAAAAAAAAAAAAAAAAAAAAATAAGCCAGCTATATCTGACCTCTTGTGGAGGTAACCCTGATGTGTTGTACGTGGGTTCCAAACTGGGTCAACCACTTGCTCACTGGTCCGATCCAAATGAAAGCTTTCGAGTGGCGAGCGTTCGAATCCCTTCCATTCGGCAGGCCCAGCCAGAGTTCTGAGGCGTCCTTGTCCAGCGCAACTCGGCGCGACGCAAATCGCTCGGGCTGGGGCTGTCGCTTGCGATTGCGTAAGTCGCGTTTTAAGCTTCAAAGGCTGAGAACTCTTTGTGCGAAGTGGGCGAGCCGTCGCAATCGTCGCACGGAGGCCATGCCGCCTTCAAGTGATGCCGCGCCCACAAAAAGGTGCTTTTTTGCATGCGGAGATGCGGCAATCCATTTCTCATTTGGTTTTGGGTTAAGAGCGAGGGTCTCATGATTTTGGATGGCCCTTGTGAACACACAATCCGTGACAGGCTGTCGCCCCTGCATTCATCCGCCTGGTGGATTCATCGGGTTTGTTTCCCACAATGCAAAGGAGCCCCTCCGAAATGGGACACCGCCCATTAATCGACCAGGGGGTGATTCATCCTGGGTCCCATTTCTAGGTAATTGCTCGCTGCAACCCTGGGATCTCAAAATTATTGTCAACAAGATGTGGAACTCGCAAGTCAAGCTTTTGGGCCCTTGATTAGTTAAACACAAAACACAGCGGCCAAGAGGTTGATTCGCCTTGGGGCCTTGGGCAAGTGAGTTGGTGCGAAGACTTACAAGCTCCCCGCGCTTCAGGCATGTTCCCGTTGGCATGATTGCAAGCGCTTGCAACAGGCCCTCATAGGTCATGTCATGTCAGATCATTTGAGTTGAACATGGATTGCACTGCTTTCAGAATTTCAGTGGGGTTCTAATCAGTTACCAGGCCATTTGTTTGTCCGAAAGGCTTGCGCTGCAAGAAGCACGCCGCAGCTTTTGCAGCCCAAAGACCGGCCACACAACACAGTGCCGGCAGTCTTGCATCCGGCTCATTTTCTGGGCGATGATGCAAGCACTGGTTCTAGGCCAAATCACCCATGATGAAGGTCGATCCATTGAGTCGTGCCAGGCCTTCATTGAGGACTCGAAAGGCTGGGGGCAACAAGCTCACCGAGGATGAAGGTCCTTCTCTTGGGTATGTGTTCGATTGAGTATATACCTGTTTGAAGGTTGGATTAAAGGGCAACCAAAACGACAGCCAACAATTTCTAGGTGCCCCTATTCTCAAACATACCTTCTTGGTCTGATGTCCGCTTCAGGGTCTTATTTCTGCTTTGAGAAATATAGTTTGCCCAGAACCTTGTAGATGTGTCATCTCTTAGGGACCCTCCAAAAAATACCAACAACAACAACGGGGGCTTCGGTTTTCTTTTTGGTTTTCCTAAAAGAAAAGCCAAACAAATGGGGTACCAACTCCACAACAGACAGCCCCTTGTACCCGTCGGGCGACTTGTCCCCCCCGTTTTCCCGCGCCATGGTGGTCGCCGGAGCCTTGTTACGCGCAGAGGGGCCAAACACGGCCCGTTACAGCTGATCAACGGTAGAGCCTAGATATTTGGCGCCCTTTAAATCGAAGCTCTGTCAAGACAATGGCCCTTATAACTTATGTATATATATATATAATGTGCACATGCAAATCCCTCCCCTTTCTGTTTGGTACCTCTCTTTTTTTCGTTTTCGGTGGACAAAAGAAAACCATGTTTGGGCTTTCTTCCGCTGGCACACCCGTTTGGGGAATTGGTACGACAACATTTTCCCTGACCCCAAGCCGCAAGGGAGTGCCTGGACCCTCTGAGCTGGCGAAAGTGATTTTGAGCAGCCGAGTTTGCTGTTTTGGGATTGGCATATCCACGCCTTCGGCGTTTCGGTGCTTTTTGGAGCAAAAAGACGGACAAGTGTGGCCTCCAGAGGATCGAACTTGATCAAGTGCCAATGTAAGACGTTGGAGGGTTTGACAAGTGCCAACCAACTGCCCTGGGTGATTCGCATCCAAGCTTTCTCTGCCAACGATGGTTTTTGATTTTGGCGAGCCCTGTTTCTCTCTCACCAACATGGCAGTGCACAGGCTTTTTTTCAAGAGGACGGTCAGGGTTTGTGCACTCACTCCCGTTTCTGGGTAGGTGTTGGGCCCACATGGCAACAAGATTGGTTACTTGTTTGACCAATCAACGAGGAGACGCGTTTCGGAGGTTCTGGGCCCACGTCAGGGCCACAAGATTGGTTACCTTGACCCATCAACTCAGAGGAGACGTCCAATGCTTCTTGCGGGGCATCTCCTTTCCTCCCAAGCGCCCAGGTCACCGTGCGCTTCTGTGAGGAGGGCCAGGCAATTGAAGTGACCTTGTATTTCATGAGTGTGTTGTTTTTGAACTGCCTATGTGTCATCCCCTATGTTGGGCTTGTTTTGTTCCGCAGATGGGTCGGATCGCTTGAGTTTGGGTGATGTTTGAGTAGGGTATACTTAGACCTAGAGCGTGACTTCTCGGTTGAAGAACAGTTTGGCCAAGTTCCAGGACTTTCTTCACTTTGGAACACGGACCATTCCAGTGAGCCAATCCACTCAGGTAAGACAGACGGATGTGAGGGAACTGGTTGGGTTTGCCGTTTTCCAGTAGCAGCAGACGTTACCCACCCCTACCCCTCAGAAAAGTTATCAAAACCGTTCTGAGCATCATCATCGTCATCGTTATCATCGTCATCATCATCAGCATCATCATCAGCATCATCATCATCATCATCATCATCATCAGCATCATCATCAACATCATCATCATCATCATCATCATCATCATCATCATCATCATCATCATCATCATCATCATCATCGTGTTTGTCATTATTTTTTTCATGATCCTTCTCCCTTCTCGTTGTCATCATCTCTTTAGCCTGCTTGTTCATGTTGCGTCGGTCCACGTCCGGCCGTTGTGTTCAACATCGCCATGTGACCCGTGTTCAAACCTCCTGTCGGCCATGAGCATAGTTCCTTGAAATGAAACCCTTGTGATTTGTGTCTACAACCCCCTCAGTCAGGGTTTGATGACCGTCTCCACCCACCCAAAGTGTTCATCCTTCCTACCTCAGACCTCCAGCGGGTTCTCATGACTGGTTCCGACCGCTTGCACCAAAGCGCGATGTAGCATCCAAAAGGACCGGACCCATTGAATGGGTCACCCAGGTATTAAGAGAAGCCAGGAAAGCGATCAGAATTCTGGCTGCCTGGGGTAGGATCTGGGATTGAGGAAGCCACTGGCAGTCCACTGATTCAGAGTCATAAGAGGCCACAAGGATGGCTCGGATGTTCAGTCCGTTGCGCCTAGCCTATTGTTTTCTTTGAAAACCGACTCCGACTTATGGAATTTGGGGCAACTCAAAGACATCCGTCCTTACACCAAGTTTCAGCACGGGGGCCAGGGGTCGGGTCGAGGGGTCGAGGGGTCGAGGGGTCGAGGGGTCGAGGGGTCGAGGGGTCGAGGGGTCGAGGGGTCGAGGGGTCGAGGGGTCGAGGGGTCGAGGGGTCGAGGGGTCGAGGGGTCGAGGGGTCGAGGGGTCGAGGGGTCGAGGAGTGGTTTCGCCAGGTCTGGAGCAAGGCCTTCGATGTGGCCTCCGAAGCACCCGTCAGACAGCTCAAGGCCCCTCCCGGCTCTCCGAGCGAATCGACCTGAATCAACCGATTGGTTCCCCACCCCCGTTCCCCCCCCCCCTTTTGAAATCCAGTTTTTGGACCTCAAAAAGGTGATCATGATAGACACCTTTTTACTCCCAGTTGCCTCTTGGGCAAAGGCTAGGGAGCCACTTTACAGGGAACCGTTTCAGGCGTTTTGTGGACCTTCAATAGGTCGTTACATGTTTTAGGGAACCTTACACTACACATCTGAAAAACACCTTGTACACTTGTTTGGGTCACGTCGAACCTGTCTTTGAGGGACCCCCAGGATGGATGCTACTTTGAAAGAGGGCCACAGTATTTGTTTGGGATTTCAAGGCGACATGATCGAGTTTCGCCAGTTGGACCACGGCAAGCCTACGGATGTTGTTTAGCCATCGGCCAAATAGCAAGGTACCCGTTGGCCAAGTCCGAAACAAAAAGCGCCGTTGGCATTTGCCCCTTGTGGCAATGTTTCGCCATGTAGGCTTCAATGTTGAGGAGCAGAAAGTTAGTTTGTGTACGCTAATGATGGAGAATCAGTTGCCAGTCGAAAGAAAGATGGACTGATTGCGAAGGTCACGCGAAGGTCACAGGAAGGTCACATCTGTGGCATAGTCCTGGCTTCCCAATGGCTTCATATTTCTTCGAGCCCACTAAAACGGTCCGCGAGGACCCCCAGTCAGGTTCCATGTTGGGGGAGGGTTCCCCTACTCAGACTACAGAAAAAAACGGGTACCCTGATTCTAAGCTCTCTACTGACTCTACTGGAGCACCTGGGATTGCGTTTGTGGCCGCCTGTGCGAAGGCATCGATGCTCAGCCCCAGCGGCAGCGACGAGGACTGGTGGCTCTTTGACTTTGGATGCTCTGGGCAAAGGGCAGCATGACTGGATTGCGAGACATGCCAGAGAGGGGTAAGATTTCATTTCGCGGCAAGGCTCTGGAATGGAGAGAGACAGAGAGGGATGAGAGAGAGATGAGTGAGTGAGAGGCAGAGAGGGATGAGAGAGAGAGAGATGAGAGAGAGAGACGGACAAAGAGACATGGAGAGACACAGAGACAGAGAGACACAGAGACAGAGAGACACCGAGACAGAGAGGGCATCTTGGCTTATACAGACAGAATGTCATGTTGATACGCAACGGTTCCTTTTCTTAACCCGCGGTGCCACGCAAGGACATCGATTCCTTCGAGCTCAGGCCCGGAGTGACCTCAGGGCCCGGATGTTTGGCCAGAGGTCTGGAATCAAGAAGTACATGCCCATATGAAAGCCTGGGGGGAGGGCCCCCAAGGGGGGATTATACGTAAAATATGTCCATTTAAGCCTTTTCCATTCAAGTCCCGCAGGGGGCGGTATCCATTGACCAAACCGGGAGTGCGGGGGGGGGCAACCGGGCAACCAATCGAGGCGGCTGGGCCGGCGGGTGCCGGACTTCGCCAAGATCTTCCAGGAAGCGTCCCGTTGTGGAGATGTGGTAGAATGGTGGGGGGGTACGTCCACAAGTAGGGGTGTTCCTGGCTTCCCGTGTGTTGGTCCCAGCCCCAAAACCGGCACCCTCAAGAAATTCAGACCCAACCTGTTTTCCCAACCCCATTATGGATACCCTCAAGAAAACAATACTACACAGGGCAGGTCCAATTGTGAAGGAGCTGTGTGAAGAATAGATCCGGGCAAATTCTCACGAGCTCGCTTAGGGTACTTGCAGATTCCTAAACCAACCCCCTTTGATCAAGAACCTAAGAGTTGCTTGGATGTCCATGTCAGAGACGGCCAAACTACCTGTTCAATAGTATCAAGGCTCAGTGACTTGCATTCACTCCTGATGCCGAATTGTCCGTATCAGTCCACACCTGAAAAGGATTTGGTTTGTGGCGATGAAGCTTTCCTAGCTCCAGGTTCCTGATTTCAGGTATGGGGTGATACCAGGGTCTTCGGCCTTCGAGGTTTTGACCTTTGTGTTTTTGGGTAACCAACATGAAATGCGAGTCCCTAGTGCCAAGATGGTAAGGCCTTCGGTTACGAAGTCGACCTGGAGCTCTTTGAGGCGAGGGGTCTTGGCTCGCGAGGCCCATCGACCAACTGGGACTAGTCCCCGCTTTCACGCGCTTGTGCGCAAAAACGTGGCCCCGTGTTTCCAGGTCTTTGGGGGTGAGTTTTGAGCATTGGAAACAAAATTGAGCTCCAACCTCCAAGGTTCTGAGAGCCCTTCCAAGAACGGGTTCTGAATTCCATGACTATTCGGGATCCCAAGAATTGTAACCAGCCGAAACCTGCATGGACTGCGTCTTATATCCATGGAAGCCATACCTTTTCCTGCCGCATTCTGGGAGGACTGCGAGCTCGACTTTGAGTATTTGGGCCACCACGTCGGCAGGGAGAAGGCCCTTTCGGGCGAGTGCTTTCAGGCATGGCTTTTAACCGGGAAAGCCCGAAGGAAACACAATTTTGGGGGGTTGGCTAAACCCGAAGGACGCCAATCATGTTTTTTTGGACAAACCCTCTTTTTGTTAGGGGGACCCCACCTCCCCGCTTATTTATTTGTTTGTTACTTTCTTATTTATTGGCTCATTTACTTACGTATTTAGTTATTTGGGGCTGACTAGATATGATGCAGAATCGGAAAATGTTACTCTGCAAATAGACATCGGAAGCGATGACTTTCTGTTGAATTAGTGGGTTGGGGTAATTCACGATTGGTTCAGTTGGTCGGGTTGGTTGGGTTGAGTTAGTTGGTTGGGTTGGTTCAGCTGGCTGAGTCAGGGTTGGAGAGTTGGGTTTGTGTTGATGTTGGGTTTGGGCTGCTTGGTTGGCTGGGTTTGTGAGGATGGTTGAGTTGACGGGCGTGCTTGGGATTGACTTGTTCCTTACTCTGTTGACCGACACACCGCATCCTGCCGAGCAGAATGCGGCTTTTCCTGCGACCAGATTGCCCATTGGCCACATGGGATACAAGCTGTAGGACAACCACTTCGCAGAACTTGAATGCTCAGCGAACCAAAGGTGTCACACACCTTGGACCACATTTGAGGGAAAACAATATGAATCGTCCAGGCAGATCATGGTGTCATGTTGCAGCGGCAGGGGTCATGGCACAAACAAAGGTCGTGTTCCTTGCAAAGAGACCCTTAAATAGCCAATCCTGTCATGGCATACTCAATCGTTCTTCCAATTGTAATAGAATTTTCGCAAATGCAGGACAAATCAAGGTCAAATAGTAATATGGATTGAACAACTGTTCAGCCTTTATAAAGACACCTCACCAAGAGAGGGCTCCGGCCCCAACTTCACCTTCCCCAAGCGACCAAATTGCCTTAAGAATTCGAGTCCCGGCCGTGGCCTAAAGAGAGGCGTACCGGGACCGAGCGGATGAGCACCGATGGGATTCGCTGCAGCTGCCGCAGCAGGAGACGGCAGAGTTCGGTGTGGACTTGTTGAAAGTTGGACCCCACTAAGCTGGTGGTGTTCGTGTTGGTTTCCCTTTAAAACCACAAACCAAAGGGGATACCTTCAACAAAGACACACAGTTGGAGCTTTGACTTAGGGGTTAGAGGAGTGAGAAGAGGGAAATCAGACGTGCATGGCGTAATCTTTGAGACAAGCCTTTGACTACTGGCAGGATCAACCACACTTTGACTCATCACGCACGGGTCGGTACAAGGCCATGTGAGGTTGGAGAAGTTGGAGATAACTTCATAGAGGTAGGCGTTAAAGAGGTTATAGAAGTCTGAGGTTAGATGGGTTGGGGGTTAGAGTAAGAAGCTACAGGTAGAGGTTGGAGTTGGACGCTAGACAACTTAGTAATGTTAAACACCTGCCGGGGTCGGTCACCCCCCTCAAACTCCCCGAGTCACCAAGAGCACGCATCACCAATTTGCCGCAGGAAGGCGTGGTGCTGAAAACATGGATTTATTGTAGAATTTGCAGGTTTCGTTTCCTTGCATAGCAGGTGTGCAGGGAACCACCCTTTACACACTAGTTTTGAGTTATCAACCGCAGATCTAGGCAGCTAAACCTAGTTGTTCAAATGACCTTTACCCTTGTTTGGCGGGTTCGGGGCCTACTAAAATCACCACCCTTTTTGCAACCAGGAAGTGGTTTGGGGTTTCCCACATGTTTCCACTGATGCAAAAAACGTGAAGGTGTTATGGGGTTCTTGAACTGATCTTGAGCCCATGATTTCGTGCTACAGGTGCAGGGTTGACTATGTTGAAGTTATTTGGAAAGCTACGTTGACTATGTTGAAGTTATATGTTTTGGCCTCGCCAGCAAAATCCATCAAGCCAGGTTCAAATTGGGATCACAATTCATCGCCTGTACAAGAATGTTACTCGACATACACAGAAGGCAGGAGCACTGCTTTCCACAAATTGGAGCCTTTGTCATTCAACTCTCGTCCCTTCGGCGCAGCTGCGTTGCATGGAGTAGCTCGGCGCGGTCAAGCTGATTGTTTGTTTGCAAGCAAACATGGAAGCCGCGGAATACTTAAGGTTATCTTGGGAACTGCAGCTTAAACCGAATTAACTCTTTGAGAACATTTTTTCTATGTTGATGATCCTTTGACTTCATCAATCCCTCCTTTCTAGGTAGTGGTGATCTGTCCAATAAATATGGCTGGGATCCCTGCATTAATTTGACCCACGCAATGCGATGACAATAACTGCAGACAAACGTAAATCTGCAAGTAGCTGAGACCACGCGTGAGCTAGCCAAGACCACGCGTGAGCTACTGGCCAACGTAAGTTCATGGCTCGGTACCTGCCCGACTCAAAGCGTGCATCGACAATAGGTATTAAGCCCATAGATGTCCTCCCGATTTGAACAATTACATCATTGCAACGGCCCGAAGCAGCCGAAACCTCCAACAATACAATTAGTTAGCACAAACACCCGGAATTATCACTATCATTAAGGATGGTACGATGTCCTTTCGTCCATTCACTTTCAAAGTAGTTTTGAGAGCGTTGCTTACCGGAAGAGTTTGAATTATCGTTCTTTTCCATAGCCATCTGCTTTGCTTGGGTGTATGGCTGTTTTCCGCAAATCGAGCCCCTGAAAGGGTGAAGTGGGGGTTGCGCATCACATAAGTTTGGCGGTTTTGTGGTCGCGCCCAAATGTGTGAACAGAGGGTTTCCCCCAAAAAACACGAAACATGGAAGAAATTGTTCTGGCCTCTCCAGCCACCAGGGTCCATTGCCACCCTTCCCTAGATAGGATGTTACAAATTTAAGTAGAGTACTGTCGAAGATGGTGGACGTGAATCCCCATGTTTCGAAACTGATTCATATATCCACAGGTTCCCCAATCAAAACTTCCACCCATATTCAGCAAGCCTCATGCGATATAGCAGACCTGAGTTGGTTCGCATTTGATCCATTGATGCTGACCAACCCAAACGCCCCTCCCTCCTGTTTATCATTCTGTTTGGGTTGCTTGTGCGGTTCTGTAGCTCCGTACAATGTTTCCCTTAAACACCCTGATGCAACATGCAAAACGCGGGGATCCCGTTCTTGCAGACTACTTGTAGACAAGTGCCTGTAGGGGTTGCTGGCTTTCAGGAGCCGCCAGCTCGGGACAGATTTCGGCCACCTGCGCGCATGCAGGCAAGGCAGACTTGAAGTTGGGCATAAAACAAATTGGGGGGGTGGTTTGCCAACTGGACTACCTAAATCGCCAAGTTGCCGCTTTTTTCCAGACAGTTTCCCCCCAAAACAGTCACCCTTGATCTGAAGCAGCAACTGGCGATCCAGGTAGACTCACAAATGGGGATTCTTCAGCTTAGCTCACGGCCCGGAAATTGGCCGAAGCGAGCCGCAGCTCGACCTCTGGCACCCCTGTGATATGGTCGTTTCGCTTTAAACGAACCCCAAAAGGGTTTCCTCAGAAAAAGACGAGCTACCTACGTTTTTTGCCCGTGAGGCGCGGCCAGCACCGGCCGCGCAGACAAAAGAGGAGGCAGGGAGGGGTGGTTTGAGGCTCGGAAAATGCGTTAATGGCTGACCCTGAACCGGATTCTCCTCTAAACCTATTTTTTGGGGCGGGCTGAATATGAAGCAGGACCAGAGAATACAATGTTTGGAGTACCCCAGATGTGGGCCAATAATATAACAAAGGGGTCTGAAGATGCTACACCCACACCGGCACATATTTGTGGTTTGGTGCAAGCTGAAAACCGGTTTACTCCGGCCCATTCAGGTTTTGTGAGGAGAATGTGAGGAAGCCTAAACTTGCAGACATTGCCTATCTTTTTACTTGAACATGATGTGTTTGATTCATGTCCCCCCCCGGCCGCGTTTGTTGTCGCGTGCGGCAAGTCCTTTGTGGCCAGGTCGCTGTCGGTCAGCATGGACAGAACCTAAGAACAGAATCTCAGTCCATAGCGTTTCATTGTTTGAGGCTGAGGGCTCAACAACGACTCAGAATCAACAATTAAACAGGCAATAGTAGTAGGAGTAGTAGTAGTAGTAGTAGTAGTAGTAGTAGTAGAAGTACAAGTAGAAGTAGAAGTGGTCGTGGTCGTCGTTGTAGTGGCAGTGGTAGTAGTAGCCGCATGAAGAGAAGCAACGGCCGGTGAGAAGGGAACCAACTGAAGAAGTTCGCTAGAACTACAGAACCTCACTTGACCATAGCCGATGACACGTTTTAAGCTTTCCCATTTTTGAGGTCCATGTTCAGTCATGTCCCCAAAAAGGTCCTTTGGGCAAGTGCAGAGCACTCCCAGGCCGCAGTGTCAAGCAGTCCCTCGCAGCATCCAATTACCTTTGCATGCAGTTCATGGCACGAGTGAATGCTCTTGGAGTCCCGCAGAAAAAAGTGCGCAGCAAGTCTCCCTCGTTCAAATTTGAGCGGAGCCCCCCCCGTGACCTTTCTCAAACCCGGAGGCCTTCTTCCGTGGGCAGCCGGCGCCGCGGCCAGCACACGCCACCGCCAAGGCCCAGAAGCGGATGTGTACGCGTCTCCGCGTGGTTTTGGAGGGGGCCCGTTTTTTTTTTTTTTTCTTTCCGGGTTGCTTCAAGAAACCCGAAATTCTTTGGGTACTGTACCTTCCATTTCCATTCTTTCCAGGGATACAAATCTTTTCAGGAAAGCATCAAAAACCCAGGGGAAACGGATCCGGTTTTTGAAAAGAACGGTCTGGACTGGTTTGGGGGCAACCCCGCTTGCCACCCCCTGGACACCTCCAAAACCCAATCTTCACCACATTCTTTTTGAGGGAAGTTGACATACAGCTTGCATTCAAGGCACCTTCAAAAGGAAACCCCAGGAAATCAAGCAAAGGCTTCACCCACGAACACCCATGCACGGCTTGGGGGTGGTCTCAAATCGCATAGGCCCATCCAAGGCACAGGCTCGAGGCTTTTTTTGTGCGAGGAACCGGAGTCCCGGAGCCCTGTGGATGGACGAAATCCCTGAAAGAAACTCTGCAAACAGGGGGGTGAACCGTGAACCACATGCCAACTGCGGGATTTGTCCACACGAATTCCAGTGAACGCCATGCCAAGAAATTCCCGTTTTGGAAAACGCACAGAATGGGCTACCTAAAGTTTCCAGAGGGGGCCGAAGCAGCCAAGCTTCACGTTCGGGGAGCGAGTCAAGTAAAATGTTACTGTACTTCGCACAATTTCTGCCTCTCAGGTCTCCATCCGACCAATAGTTGTGCTTCTGCCACAGTGCTCCCAAATAAAATGCCTTGTAGTGGTTAGCTTTTGGTTGAGATTGAGGCTTGCAAGGGACATACATCTTGGGGCAACGGGTGGGTGCGTTTGGGCGCGGTTTGCTTCCCTTCTTGCTGGCTGGCGCACCCGTCGCACCTGTCACCTCAACAGTTGCCATTCGCAGCCTCAATCCAAATCAAAAGCCGACTTTGGGACTTTGGCCCGACTTTGAGCAGAAGCACAGGAGATGGCGGGATGAAGCCTGCCTGCCACCCCATGTTCACCAATGGTCTGGGTTCTGAGGCTCAGACTGGGTTCAGACCTCCTTGCTGTTTTGGGGGGAAAAAGCTGATGATCTTCATGTGCTGAATGAAGCTGTTGTCAGCTATACTTGCAAATCTGTAACTCATGCAGATGTAGACCACAATTACTGCTTAGCGGAAGACCCAAAGCTATTGTGACCAACTTCATCGCGCAAGTTTGGCAGTTGACATGCCACGCACGCCTGTCAAATGGTCCCTTGTGTTGAAACAGGTGTTGTTTAAACAATCTCCTTCAGTTTCCCCTTACTGTTGACCACGGACAAAAACACCTGTCCTATGAATTGAATAGTGTGTTCTCTCCAAAACTGAAAAGTCCCCACTAGAAGGGGACACCCCCCCCCCCACTCCCCGATCAGGTTTCTCTTCAATTTTGGGTTCCCATATATAAAATATATACATATGTCATATGTAATGATATATACATTCTATATACACACAGTACAGATGTGGATATATATATATATATGAGCCACGGACAAAACACACGAAGACCACTTTATCAAGGCGGGGAACGCTTTTGCAAAGCACATGCCAAAACCATGGAAAACGATAAGGTCTCCCCCAAAAACGATAACCCTTAGCTAACACACGGATCTATAATAACCCCTGCAGTTGCAACTTAGCTAGGGTGGGACCCTTGCGTGGCCACCGTAAAACAAGAAGGCGAGTCGCCACTTTCGAGCTGGAGCTGCCAAGGTGTGCTTCGTAAATACGACACTTGTACTGAGAAGTTGCGATTTTCGAGCTGGAGCTGCGGAAGTGTACTTCGCGTACTAGACTTGCACTACAAAGTTGCGATTTTCGAGCTGGAGATGCGGAAGTGTACTTCTCGTACTAGACTTGTACTACAAAGTTGCGATTTTCGAGCTGGAGATGCGGAAGTGTACTTTGCTTACTAGACTGGTACTACAAAGTTGCGATTTTCGAGCTGGAGATGCGGAAGTGTACTTCGCGTACTAGACTTGCACTGCAAAGTTGCGATTTTCGAGCTGGAGATGCGGAAGTGTACTTCTCGTACTAGACTTGCAGTACAAAGTTGCGATTTTCGAGCTGGAGATGCGGAAGTGTACTTCGCTTACTAGACTGGTACTACAAACTGGAGATGCGGAAGTGTACTTCTCGTACTAGTGTACTTGGACTTGCTACAAAGTTGCGACTTTCGAGCTGGAGCTGCGGAAGTGTACTTCGCGTACTAGACTTGTACTACAAAGTTTCGATTTTCGAGCTGGAGCAGCGGAAGTGTACTTCGCGTACTAGACTTGTACTACAAAGTTGCGATTTTCGAGCTGGAGATGCGGAAGTGTACTTCTTGTATTAGACTTGTACTACAAAGTTGCGACTTTCGAGCTGGAGATGCCTTGTACTACAAAGTTGCGATTTTCGAGCTGGAGATGCGAAAGTGTACTTCGCGTGTACTACAAAGTTTCGATTTTCGAGCTGGAGCTGCGCAAGTGTACTTCGCGTACTAGACTTTTGCTACAAAGTTGCGATTTTCGAGCGGACGTGTACTTCGCGTACTAGACTTGTACTACAAAGTTGTGTTTTTCGAGCTGGAGATGTGGAAGTGCACTTCGCGTACTAGACTTGTACTACAAAGTTGCGATTTTCGAGCTGGAGATGCGGAAGTGTACTTCGCGCACTAGACTTGTATTACAAAGTTGCGATTTTCGAGCTGGAGATGCGGATGTGTACTTCGCGTACTAGACTTGTACTACAAAGTTGCGATGTTCGAGCTGGAGCTGCGGAAGTGTACTTCGCTTACTAGACTGGTACTACAAAGTTGCGATTTTCGAGCTGTGGAGATGCGGAAGTGTACTTCGCGTACTAGACTTGCAGTACAACGTTGCGATTTTCGAGCTGGAGATGCGGATGTGTACTTCTCGTACTAGACTTGTACTAAGTGTACTTTACGTACTAGACTGGTACTACAAAGTTGCGATTTTCGAGCTGGAGATGCGGAAGTGTACTTCGCGTACTAGACTTGTACCTCAAAGTTGCGATTTTCGAGCTGGAGCTGCGGAAGTATACTTCGTACTGCAAAGTTGCGATTTTCGAGCTGGAGAGAAGTGTACTTCGCGTACTAGACTTGTACTACAAAGTTGCGATTTTCGAGCTGGAGCTGCGGAAGTGTAGTTCGCGTACTAGACTTGAACTACAAAGTTGCGATTTTCGAGCTGGAGATGCGGAAGTGTACTTCTCGTACTAGACTTGTACTACAAAGTTGCGACTTTCGAGCTGGAGATGCGGAAGTGTAGTTCGCGTACTAGACTTGTACTACAAAGTTGCGATTTTCGAGCTGGAGATGCGGAAGTGTGCCTCGCGTACTAGACTTGTACTACAAAGTTGCGATTTTCGAGCCGGATCTGCCAAAGTTCGAAAACACTGTAAAACGATAAGGTCTCCCCCAAAAACGATAACGTTCAAAAAAGTACTAGGGCCAAGTAAAGTGTTTCGTCCGCTCCTCATATATATATTATCGGGTGTGATAAATGAAAGTAGGCTGATGTTTGTTTGTTTGAACCGTTGCCCCTTGTGCCTTTCGCCCCATCGGCGACTCGCAGGGCCCCGGGCCGCCGCCTGCGAAGCGCTGGGAGGTCATCGGCGGCGCGGACAAGGGAGGCACGGCAGCGGGGGGAAACCCCTGAAAGGCATGGCGTGGTTTTGTTTTCTAGGTCCCCCAATATCGCCCTTTACCGTTTCTTTTTTGGGGGAGGGTTCCCCTACTAAAATCGAATACAAAAAAAACGGGTACCCTTATTCTAACCTCTCTACTGGAGGACCTAGTTTTCCTTTATGCCAACCCCTTAAATGTGACCAACCCAGAAACAAGACGCAAAAGAGTAAAACACTTAATCAAACCAACCGGGGCCATCGGGCTCATATCCCAGCGGCCAGAGGAAAACAGGGCCCTTTGTTGAGCAACGTGAAAACAAAAAACGACAAGAACACGCGCCGCTACAGTACCTTCATAGCGTGGACTTCGGAGTCTGCAGGAACCATACTAAGCAAAGGAATCCCCCAAATCCGTTGTGTCCCAACTAAAAGGGAGCAACCCCTGATCAAGCAACTCATTCGGAAACGACCCCCCTTCAAAGAGGGGACTGTGATTTGCTAGATTGACGGCTGCGTGCTAGGGGGCATGCAGTTGACAGAAGGAACCCAACAAGGGGGCTCCCCAAAGGGAGTTTCCGCTAGGGATGATGATTTGTTGGGTTCCATGTTCATTTGTAGAGTAAGTCTTGGGTTGTGAGCGCTCTGCACCAGGAAGGTTCCTTGCTTTGGGATTCCTTGTTTTGGGTACGCATGTGTTGCCCACATGGTTTCTTCTGAAAGGGCAGTGGTTATTATTACACTGGTGTGCCCACCATGTTTGTGTGTTTGGTGTTGTGTTTTGTTTGTGTTTGTTATGTGTTGTTGCGTATGTGTTGTTGCGTATTTGTTATTGCCTTTTTGTGTGTGTGAATGTATTTGTTGTGTGTATGTCTTTGTTTGCTTGCTTGCTTGCTTGCTTGCTTGCTTGCTTGCTTGCTTGCTTGTTGGGTGGTTTGTTGTTTTGTTTGTGATGTTATCGTGTCTATTTGGTGTTGTATGTGCTGGTTTCATATATGTGTGTGTGTGTGCTTGTGCTTGTGTTTGCGCTTGCACGTTTGTTTGTTTTGTACTTCTTGTTGTGTGCCCTTTTGTCGTGTGCCTTCTTATCTTGTTGTGCGTGTTTTTTGTTTTGTTTAATGATAACCATGCAGCGTTGCCCGCACTGCTCCCAATTATGCACAATCGAACAAACATGTGCCCCCACCTGCCCAGCTGGCCCACAGCTCCAAAGAGTGAGTTTCCGTTCGTTTTTGTGTGTTTGTTACTGGGCAGACCCTCAACGCACCATACATTGCCAGAGGAATCGCATACCATTTTGGACCTTTTGCCTTGGGTGTCCTTCATTTTCCTCACCACTGGGATCTTCGGCCAAGTTAGTGATTAAGTTGCTGGTAACCATTCGGTTACAACCCACTTGCAAGTCCCCGGTTCAGAGGAGTTAAGCTAGTTGTTGGTAACCTAGGTCACAACTACAAGCCACTTACAAGTCATTACAAAGTCGGTTCACCTTGTTGGGGGGGTGTAACCCAAGCGGCGATCACTTGCTATCTTGGCTCCACTCGTTTGGCGAGCGAGGCATCTTGGTGCGGGAGGGCCAGTCCACGACCTCCAAGCAGCTGGCAGACCGGCTGTCCACAGGCCAGGCTGCCTGGGCGGGGGGCGGGATGCGCGTGGAGGCTCCATAGCTTTTGGAGGCTGCGAAATAGGGGGGGGGAGTGGGCGATGGATTTTGTTTAATTTGGACCCTCAATTCATGCAACATTTAGCTACGGTTCTACCCATGATGTGTTTTTTTTCTTCCCAACTATTCTCCTGTTGTTGTTTTTGGGGAGGGGTTGTCTCAAAGTCGGGGGGGGGGGGGAAACAAACACACTCAAACGCTGGCGTCAGGCTGCGAGGGTTGGGCCTCAAGGTGAGACCCAGCGCCAGTTTGGTAGTGGTGCCCCTTTGTCTTTTTGGCAAAAGTACCAGCAATATGGGTATGGGGTATTCGAACACTTGCATTGCATACGAACAAAGGGGATAGTCGAACTACTTGAGAACTACTGCTTCTGCTTAGACTCAGCAAAACAAAAAGATATGCCGTAGCCACTGGATGCTTGGGCAACAAATATTGAAGCAGCTAGGGAGCTGTCAAACATGTGTGCGTCCATTGATGTTCCCGAAAATTGTTGAGGCGATCGGAACTTGACTTGTCCAAACATTTCAATTTGAGATTTCTTCAATCTGCGCAAAAAGCGTCGACTTACCTGGTAAAAAGGAGCTTATTCTTATAATTGCCCTTTCGCCTGGGCTCCCTTATTTCTGGTTTGTGACTTCTAGTAATTTGTCCTGATCAAATTCAGCGTCGCTATCCCGGCATTCCGGAATCTTGAACTGCCAGAACTTCAGGCAGATATCCACATGAGGTTGGTTTGCGCTTGCTTCCTTTCTTCCTTACTTTACAGTTTTCTATTCTTTCCGGATGTCTCCTGAAGTTATTTTGCAATATCAAGATTCACAACATGTGGAGCCGAATCAAACTAAAGATATACCTTGTTGTTTCTGGCAGTTTGGAAAAAGGCTGAGCTTTGATCAGAACCGGCACGCGGGCAACCTGCCACATTCTGGTCGACCCACTTGGCGTTCGATTCATGGGTATGCTGAGTGAAGCGTATCTCAACCTGAGCCAGTATTCCAATATAGCTCTTCGCGCTGCCGCTGATTCAAATGAGATATGTCCATGCGATGAGGCTGCCGCTGACATACCTGGAGCTGCCAACTGGCGGCGAAATTGGGATGCTTGCAGTGCCAGTTGCCAACTGCTTGACGCGTAAATGAATAGACAAGATAATTACTGCTGGACTATTCAAAAACAGATGCTTCTGGTCTGAATTGCCCGCCACTGTCAAATTGTGTGAGCTTTCAGGCTTGATTTGGCGCTGGCATGGCGATGGATGTATGATAGATGTTCATGTCGTGCATATTTCCAGAGTTCTCCCCTACAAACTAACATGGAACCCCAAAAAAGGTCCCCAAAAAGAGTTTCCTCTACAAAGGATTTTTGCAGAGTATCATCGTGCCAGTTTCTTTGATTCTCTTTGGCTTGCCTTTCTGTCCATGTTCTTCAGATCCCCAGCCGGGCGTCGGCCCCTTTTTCGGAGCCGAGAGACCCGAGGCCACCCCGCAGCGGTGCGGATGGCCTTTGAGGTAACCCCGCCCAAAGGCCCAAGAACATGTGCAACCGCTCAATCCCCGCTTTTGATCAAGAAGGTCCCGGAAATCCAGTGAATAGCTCTACTTGTGGGAGGATTTAATCAAAAGCTGCGATGACCTAGTTCTAGACGGTTTAGTAACCCTACTTCGTGCAGGGTGAAAGTACACAGGTCTTCGTCACCCCGTTGAACTCAAGAGGGATTTAGTGTTATTTACTTTCACCCTGGTGTAATACAGTTAGAATTGGCTATTGGAGCGCCATCAGAGCGACCTGCACAAGAACTAAGCATTTAGCATGTGTGTGTAGCCCCTGTGTGTGTGTGTGTGTGTGGAAAGCTTGGTTTCAGGGCCAATTTCTATGATACCAACGGAATCCCCTGTACAGTGATAAAGTAGTCAAGGGGATGTCCCACGTTGGCACGACAGACAAGTTTATTTCCAGTGGGACATGACAGACATGGGACGCCAGTTTTTCTTGGGGTTCCTTCCGTGAATTTGTACGGGAGCAGCGCTCACCAGGCCATAATAGGCGTTTTTCTGGGGTCATTATTTTGACGGTGTTTGGGAGTTATCAAAGTCAGTAAATGGGGTTGTTTCCCTTTAATCCACAACTTAGGGGGTGACTTTTTGATCATGGTAACATAATGAAGCCAGTTTTTAGGCGGGTTCCGGCGTTTCTTTGATCTCCAGGTGCCCTGGTCGAGGAGTTGGACCTCCGGGGCGAGCGCCTGCAGTTCAAGAGGCGTGGCTGGGCGGACAGTCGCTATGTCAATGAGAGGCAAGGCACAGAACCTATATAGCAAGGGTGGAAATGCTTGTAGAATATTCTAGGGGTAGCTTCCATGTCCATTCTTGCCGGGGATCCGAATCTTTTCAGGAAATCATCTCAAAATCCCAGGGGAAACGGATCCGGTTTTGGAGAAGAACGATGGTTGAAAAGAATGGTTGGAATCAACCCCTGGAAATATCCTCGCTCCTTGAGTTCCTGGACTGAGACACTCACTCCCTGAGTTTCAGGGCTCTCAACTTTTTGGGGTTGGTATATAAGAAGCTTGGTTGCTGTTGGCCAATCGGTTCTTGATTTATGTTCGTGCAACATCGTGCAACCTTGACGAAGCGACATCTAAATGGAGTTGTCCAGCTGGCAGGACTGGTGCTTTGAAGCTAGTTGGTGTCAAAGCAGGTGAGACCCCCTTGCTCTTTGGGCTTATTTGTGCTTGAGTTGTGTTTCTCTGCTGACTGGCAACAATGTGAAATTGTTTGCGCGGAGGGGGGAGAAGTAGCAGTGTGGATGGCTGCAAAGGAGAAACGGACTTGCCAGCCACTTAGCTGACCGGGGTTTGGTCACGTCCGCCCCTGTTCCTTTCGACCCCTAAACCTGCTTTGTTGGGCAAGATGGATCAAACAGCAGGTGTAGAACTAAAAAATAGGGTCCCCTTTTCACCTTTTCAAGCGAGAACTCCGGCAAGGGTGAGTGATTTCTCGCAGTGAAGACATGTGGGTATGTGTCACTATCAAACCTGGACGTTTTTTTGGTGCAGTTTGACAAACCATTTGGCTTGGCGGTTCCCAGCCGTCCCCTTACATGTTTAGGTTTTGGGCTTTAGTGAGTGAGGGTTTCCATTTAACCCACGAAAAGTGAAACTTTTAGCAGGGGATCTGAGGACAGCCCATTTGGGAAGCCCAGTTCCGGTTCCAGAGCATTCCAAAGGCACGAGAAGATTGGCAGGATGTCCACCCAGGATTCGTAGACTCGGACGAATCGAGGGTTCACAAGCAGTCCGGATCCCCTCCAGAATGAATCCCAAATCGACCGAAAGCTGCCAGGCTGACGGGCACTGGCCCAGAGACAGGAGCTCGCGAGTGGCGAAACGGCTTCATGTATGGGTTAGGCGAAATCATGGCGTTGGCCACTCAGGTCATAAGACCCGCCTGGGCCCCTCCCCTGTCATTTCCCCCAAAAAGGTCGGAATATAGGGCTGTGTCAGGGATTGCTTTGTGGAAGCCAGGAAGGAAACAGCGGAGGGATCCTTATATCCCTCCTTTTCGGAAGTGTTTACCCTCCTTGCTTGGAGCTGAGGCATCCTCTTCAAGTTCACTTGGGCGCAATGACTTTGAATGGGCCATCAACCACAGGATGCTCGCCTGTCAGACGAAGGGTTGTAGATGTAAAGGGAGGCTTTGTCGCGGGAAAGTTTGAACGGCGCCTGCGATGTTACGCACCTCGCTAGGGGAAACCACAGGAATTGAAGATATGATCCAAAACGAAACCTGGATTTTGTGAATCTGTACTGACATCATTCCCTTTATGCATACCCAAATCTGCAAATAGGGAGTACCAAGGCGCCCACCGTGGGTTTGCTTTGAGCATGTTGTTTCTCGTGGAGGACCTGTTGCCCCCTCGACTCCTTTAGGGGGTGGATAATGTGAACAACTGGGCTTAATAAGGGGTCATCCGCTCAATAGCTCCCTGGACATCAATGGCTCAGCAAGCTGCCCTTGAGCTGCAGAGATTTGGCTTGCCCTTCTAAGGCCAAAGAGCCAACGCCGCCCTACACAGCTTAAAGCCCGGCCAGAAAAAGATGGACATCCCAAATAGTGCTGGCCAAGCTATTTGAGAGTTTCTCGGGATTCACCTTAACTGGTGTGAATAATGTTGAATTTATAGATTGGCCCTAGACCTCGGCTTTTTGTTTTTTGCACCTTTGGCCACCAAAGGATTTCTGTGAGTCTTCCGTTGTCCGGTCAAGAGAGAGAAAAAGAAGCTCCCAGAGCGACCCCCAAATTGCAGGGACACGTTTGACGTTTTCCTTTACCCAAGCAGAAAGGGCATTTCGCCAGCGTTTGGTCCCATCCTCGGCTGGCAGGCTGGGTGAGCTGGGGCCTCAACATCGGCCTTGCGCTGTGGATTCCACCTGTTGTTTCCAAGACTCTCAGATGGCTCGCAGCTTTGCCTTGATACCTTTGTTGAGAGGCTTGAGATTGAAGCAAGCAAGTTGTCCTCTCTATTTACCAAGGTAGCGACTTTGCTTCGTGGGCACAAGAGTCCTGGGATGCAAAAGCATTCCTCCCCTAACTATTCCACCAACGCACATGGGGAGTTGGAGTGCAGACTGACGTGTGGGGTAGGGGAATCCTTTTTTCAACCCTGGGGCTATGTGTGATGTTTGCAATGAGGGCCAAAATGGGATCCCTTCGCATGGAAAAGCAGGTGTGTCAGTTGTCTGAACGAGGGATCGGTTGGTCTGAAAAGTGGACCAAGAAGTTCTGAAGGCTCTGAGGTTCTACACATGGATGCATCGTGTTCTTGAGTTTGGTTGGTTTTTAAAGCGAAAAGCCAACGTTGCCATTTTGGGGGTCGGCTAATTTTGGGACACCCTCATAGACAATGTCTGTGTGCCTGTAGGTCTGCCCTCATGGCAAAAGAAGGAAACAAGTCTGCGCTCCTTTGGTTCATTCCACCTAAACATGCGTTTGCCAGACCTTGGGAGCTTTGTTCAAATCCATAAGAACTATGCACATGCTTTTAAGAAAGACCTTTCTTTCCCCGCTACCAGAGCGTGTACGCTCAGGTCTCAGTGTCTCCGGCAAGGACCAGCATTTGAAGATAGCCTCAACGACCCGTTTCTCATGTATCATGAGTCTGTGTCAAAATAGGGGACCCCCCGCCCCCCGAAAAAAGAAGAAACACAACTGTTGCTGGTCGGTTTCCCTTTGACCTGAAGAGGGTACTACTGTACCCTCAAAGAAGCACACACCCATATGTCTGTTCGTTAGAAGGCTTTGTTGTCCCTGGATGCGTTACACCGCGCTGGAAGACCAAGTCGCCTGGTTTGCGACTTAGGTGACCGGGGTCGCTGTGTTCGACGGTTTCTTGTCAGCTCACGATGAAGGTCCCTTTCTTGGGGCGCCCATTTTGCGGATTGTAGAAAATATCCATCCGGTTGAGTAGAGAGACAGCAACACGACCGACCAGTAAACCGGCTCCAAACCAAACGTATCATCTTGGAGGGTTTTGGGAGAACTGATCAAACACTTTATGGTGAGTAGCCTGAATTACCTTCCGCTGGGACGGGGGATGCGCTGGGCTTTGCTCGTTTTGCCTTTTTGATCCCAGTGACCAGCGATGCAACATCCATTTTGTCTGAAAATAGGTGACCCTCAAAATTGGTGGTTTCCCTTTAAGTAAGCCAGCCAAGAAAAGGGTACGGAGGCCACGGGTTACGGGCTCTGCGCAAGGAGATCGTGAAGCCCCGGATACCATCCCCGGAGGAGATGTTGACGCCGGGCCGCCAAAAGGGCACGGGGGCAGCGGGCACTCAGCTGAGTTCTCAAAAGGGTCCCTTAAAATGATCGGCGTCCTTGTGGCTTCCGACTAAATAAAATACCAACCGAAAGGGAGAGAAGGTATCCCCCAAAGAGTTGGTTTCCAAGCGGTTTGTTTGTGCCCTCAGCCCAACACGCCTTCCAAGTCCAAACGAGCTTGCCAGGTGTCGGGTCAGGGGGTCGGCACTCTTGGTCTCAAGGAACATTTCCTGAGTTCTTGGACGTTGGTCACTTTTTGGGTTTGGACTATGTTGGTGGACCAAAAGTTTGGTTGCACATTTTGGGCGAACTTAGGAAGTGAGTGGAAAAAGGGGTTTACTGTAGTTGCCGCTTTCGGTGATAAGGGACTATGGCCTTGTGTTGTAATTCATGCAGTTGAATATGGTGTGAAACGTTGAAAGGCTTTATGTGTGATCGAATTCATTGAACATGAACCAAAGGGTTGGGTTACAGGAAGTTATGCAGGAAAACATCTTATTTACGGTGTTTTGGGGCCACTTCCTGTAGAATTTCCTGTAACCAAACCCTTTGAGTAAAGTTACGTTGACACCTGCAAAATAAGTTGCCTCTTGAAAGGCCCCGCCCTGTTTTGGTGCCACGGCAACGGAGTGATCTGTCGCCGAGGCTTGACAAGGCGCTCTCCTTGCAGGAAGAGCTGATGGAAGGCTTCAACAAGCACCGGGACCCAGCAAAGAAATCAGCGAAGGGGGAGAGGTGGGGCGGGGAGGGGGGTGCACGTGTGTGTGTGTGTGTCTCTCTGTGTCTCTGTGTGTCTCTGTGTGTCTCTGTGTGTCTCTGTGTGTCTCTGTGTGTCTCTGTGTGTCTCTGTGTGTCTCTGTGTCTCTGTGTGTCTCTGTGTGTCTCTGTGTGTCTCTGTGTGTCTCTGTGTGTCTCTGTGTGTCTCTGTGTGTCTCTGTGTGTCTCTGTGTGTCTCTGTGTGTCTCTGTGTGTCTCTGTGTGTCTCTGTGTGTCTCTGTGTGTCTCTGTGTGTCTCTGTGTGTCTCTGTGTGTGTCTCTGTGTGTCTCTGTGTGTCTCTGTGTGTCTCTGTGTGTCTCTGTGTGTGTGTGTCTCTGTGTGTCTCTGTGTGTCTCTGTGTGTCTGTGTGTCTCTGTGTGTCTCTGTGTGTCTCTGTGTGTCTCTGTGTGTCTCTGTGTGTCTCGGTGTGTCTCTGTGTGTCTCTGTGTGTCTCTGTGTGTCTCTGTGTGTCTCTGTGTGTCTCTGTGTGTCTCTGTGTGTCTCTGTGTGTCTCTGTGTGTCTCTGTGTGTCTCTGTGTGTCTCTGTGTGTCTCTGTGTGTCTCTGTGTGTCTCTGTGTGTCTGTGTGTCTCTGTGTGTCTCTGTGTGTCTCTGTGTGTCTCTGTGTGTCTCTGTGTGTCTCTGTGTGTCTCTGTGTGTCTCTGTGTGTCTCTGTGTGTCTCTGTGTGTCTCTGTCTCTGCGTGTCTCTGTGTGTCTCTGTGTGTCTCTGTGTGTCTCTGTCTGTGCGTCTCTGTGTCTCTGTGTGTCTCTGTGTGTCTCTGTGTGTCTCTGTGTGTCTCTGTGTGTCTCTGTGTGTCTCTGTGTGTCTCTGTGTGTCTCTGTGTGTCTCTGTGTGTCTCTGTGTGTCTGTGTCTCTGTGTGTCTCTGTGTGTCTCTGTGTGTCTCTGTGTGTCTCTGTGTGTCTCTGTGTGTCTCTGTGTGTCTCTGTGTGTCTCTGTGTGTCTCTGTGTGTCTCTGTGTGTCTCTGTGTGTCTCTGTGTGTCTCTGTGTGTCTCTGTGTGTCTTGTGTGTCTCTGTGTGTCTCTGTGTGTCTCTGTGTGTCTCTGTGTGTCTCTGTGTGTCTCTGTGTGTCTCTGTGTGTCTCTCTGTGTGTCTCTGTGTGTCTCTGTGTGTCTCTGTGTGTCTCTGTGTGTCTCTGTGTGTCTCTGTGTGTCTCTGTGTGTGTGTGTCTCTGTGTGTCTCTGTGTGTCTCTGTGTGTCTCTGTGTGTCTCTGTGTGTCTCTGTGTGTCTCTGTGTGTCTCTGTGTGTCTCTGTGTGTCTCTGTGTGTCTCTGTGTGTCTCTGTGTGTCTCTGTGTGTCTCTGGGTGTCTCTGTGTGTCTCTGGGTGTCTCTGTGTGTCTCTGTGTGTCTCTGTGTGTCTCTGTGTGTCTCTGTGTGTCTCTGTGTGTCTCTGTGTGTCTCTGTGTGTCTCTGTGTGTCTCTGTGTGTCTCTGTGTGTCTCTGTGTGTCTCTGTGTCTCTGTGTGTCTCTGTGTGTCTCTGTGAGTCTCTGTGTGTCTCTGTGTGTCTCTGTGTGTCTCTGTGTGTCTCTGTGTGTCTCTGTGTGTCTCTGTGTGTCTCTGTGTGTCTCTGTGTGTCTCTGTGTGTCTCTGTGTGTCTCTGTGTGCCTCTGTGTCTCTGTGTCTCTGTGTGTGTGTCTCTGTGTGTGCCTCTGTGTGTGTCTGTGTGTGTCTGTGTGTCTCTGTGTGTCTCTGTGTGTCTCTGTGTGTCTCTGTGTGTCTCTGTGTGTCTCTGTGTGTCTCTGTGTGTCTCTGTGTGTCTCTGTGTGTCTCTGTGTGTCTGTGTGTGTCTCTGTGTGTCTCTGTGTGTCTCTGTGTGTCTCTGTGTGTCTCTGTGTGTCTCTGTGTGTCTCTGTGTGTGTGTCTCTGTGTGTCTCTGTGTGTCTCTGTGTGTCTCTGTGTGTCTCTGTGTGTCTCTGTGTGTCTCTGTGTGTCTCTGTGTGTCTCTGTGTGTCTCTGTGTGTCTCTGTGTGTCTCTGTGTGTCTCTGTGTGTCTCTGTGTGTCTCTGTGTGTCTCTGTGTGTCTCTGTGTGTCTCTGTGTGTCTCTGTGTGTCTCTGTGTGTCTCTGTGTGTCTCTGTGTGTCTCTGTGTGTCTCTGTGTGTCTCTGTGTGTCTCTGTGTGTCTCTGTGTGTCTCTGTGTGTCTCTGTGTGTCTCTGTGTGTCTCTGTGTGTCTCTGTGTGTCTCTGTGTGTCTCTGTGTGTCTCTGTGTGTCTCTGTGTGTCTCTGTGTGTCTCTGTGTGTCTCTGTGTGTCTCTGTGTGTCTCTGTGTGTCTCTGTGTGTCTCTGTGTGTCTCTGTGTGTCTCTGTGTGTCTCTGTGTGTCTCTGTGTGTCTCTGTGTGTCTCTGTGTGACTCTGTGTGTCTCTGTGTGTCTCTGTGTGTCTCTGTGTGTCTCAGTGTGTCTCTGTGTGTCTCTGTGTGTCTCTGTGTGTCTCTGTGTGTCTCTGTGTGTCTCTGTGTGTCTCTGTGTGTCTCTGTGTGTCTCTGTGTGTCTCTGTGTGTCTCTGTGTGTCTCTGTCTCTGTGTGTCTCTGTGTGTCTCTGTGTGTCTCTGTGTGTCTCTGTGTGTCTCTGTGTGTCTCTGTGTGTCTCTGTGTGTCTCTGTGTGTCTCTGTGTGTCTCTGTGTGTCTCTGTGTGTCTCTGTGTGTCTCTGTGTGTCTCTGTGTGTCTCTGTGTGTCTCTGTGTGTCTCTGTGTGTCTCTGTGTGTCTCTGTGTGTCTCTGTGTGTCTTTGTGTGTCTCTGTGTGTCTCTGTGTGTCTCTGTGTGTCTCTGTGTGTCTCTTTGTGTCTCTGTGTGTCTCTGTGTGTCTCTGTGTGTCTCTGTGTGTCTCTGTGTGTCTCTGTGTGTCTCTGTGTGTCTCTGTGTGTCTCTGTGTGTCTCTGTGTGTCTCTGTGTGTCTGTGTGTCTCTGTGTGTCTCTGTGTGTCTCTGTGTGTCTCTGTGTGTCTCTGTGTGTCTCTGTGTGTCTCTGTGTGTCTCTGTGTGTCTCTGTGTGTCTCTGTGTGTCTCTGTGTGTCTTTGTGTGTCTCCGTGTGTCTCTGTGTGTCTCTGTGTGTCTCTGTGTGTCTCTGTGTGTCTTTGTGTGTCTCTGTGTGTCTCTGTGTGTCTCTTTGTGTCTTTGTGTGTCTTTGTGTGTCTCTGTGTGTCTCTGTGTGTCTCTGTGTGTCTCTGTGTGTCTCTGTGTGTCTCTGTGTGTCTCTGTGTGTCTCTGTGTGTCTCTGTGTGTCTGTGTGTCTCTGTGTGTCTGTGTGTCTCTGTGTGTCTCTGTGTGTGTGTCTCTGTGTGTGTCTCTGTGTGTCTCTGTGTGTCTCTGTGTGTCTCTGTGTGTGTCTCTGTGTGTGTCTCTGTGTGTGTCTCTGTGTGTGTCTCTGTGTGTGTCTCTGTGTGTGTGTCTCTGTGTGTCTCTGTGTGTCTCTGTGTGTCTCTGTGTGTCTCTGTGTGTCTCTGTGTGTCTCTGTGTGTCTCTGTGTGTCTCTGTGTGTCTGTGTGTCTCTGTGTGTCTCATGTGTCTCTGTGTCTCTTTGTGTGTCTCTGTGTGTCTCTGTGTGTCTCTGTGTGTCTCTGTGTGTCTCTGTGTGTCTCTGTGTGTCTCTGTGTGTCTCTGTGTGTCTCTGTGTGTCTCTGTGTGTCTCTGTGTGTCTCTGTGTGTCTCTGTGTGTCTCTGTGTGCCTGTGTGTCTCTGTGTGTCTCTGTGTGTCTCTGTGTGTCTCTGTGTGTCTCTGTGTGTCTCTGTGTGTCTCTGTGTGTCTCTGTGTGTCTCTGTGTGTCTCTGTGTGTCTCTGTGTGTCCTCTGTGTGTCTCTGTGTGTCTCTGTGTGTCTCTGTGTGTCTCTGTGTGTCTCTGTGTGTCTCTGTGTGTCTCTGTGTGTCTCTGTGTGTCTCTGTGTGTCTCTGTGTGTCTCTGTGTGTCTCTGTGTGTCTCTGTGTGTCTCTGTGTGTCTCTGTGTGTCTCTGTGTGTCTCTGTGTGTCTCTGTGTGTCTCTGTGTGTCTCTGTGTGTCTCTGTGTGTCTCTGTGTGTCTCTGTGTGTCTCTGTGTGTCTCTGTGTGTCTCTGTGTCTCTGTGTGTCTCTGTGTGTCTCTGTGTGTCTCTGTGTGTCTCTGTGTGTCTCTGTGTGTCTCTGTGTGTCTCTGTGTGTCTCTGTGTGTCTCTGTGTGTCTCTGTGTGTCTCTGTGTGTCTCTGTGTGTCTCTGTGTGTCTCTGTGTGTCTCTGTGTGTCTCTGTGTGTCTCTGTGTGTCTCTGTGTGTCTCTGTGTGTCTCTGTGTGTCTCTGTGTGTCTCTGTGTGTCTCTGTGTGTCTCTGTGTGTCTCTCTGTGTGTCTCTGTGTGTCTCTGTGTGTCTCTGTGTGTCTCTGTGTGTCTCTGTGTGTCTCTGTGTGTCTCTGTGTGTCTCTGTGTGTCTCTGTGTGTCTCTGTGTGTCTCTGTGTGTCTCTGTGTGTCTCTGTGTGTCTCTGTGTGTCTCTGTGTCTCTGTGTGTCTCTGTGTGTCTGTGTGTCTCTGTGTGTCTCTGTGTGTCTCTGTGTGTCTCTGTGTGTCTCTGTGTGTGTGTCTCTGTGTGTCTCTGTGTGTCTCTGTGTGTCTCTGTGTGTCTCTGTGTGTCTCTGTGTGTCTCTGTGTGTCTCTGTGTGTCTCTGTGTGTCTCTGTGTGTCTCTGTGTGTCTCTGTGTGTCTCTGTGTGTGTCTCTGTGTGTCTCTGTGTGTCTCTGTGTGTCTCTGTGTGTCTCTGTGTGTCTCTGTGTGTCTCTGTGTGTCTCTGTGTGTCTCTGTGTGTCTCTGTGTGTCTCTGTGTGTCTCTGTGTGTCTCTGTGTGTCTCTGTGTGTCTCTGTGTGTCTCTGTGTGTCTCTGTGTGTCTCTGTGTGTCTCTGTGTGTCTCTGTGTGTCTCTGTGTGTCTCTGTGTGTCTCTGTGTGTCTCTGTGTGTCTCTGTGTGTCTCTGTGTGTCTCTCTGTGTGTCTCTGTGTGTCTCTGTGTGTCTCTGTGTGTCTCTGTGTGTCCCTGTGTGTCTCTGTGTGTCTCTGTGTGTCTCTGTGTCTCTGTGTGTCTCTGTGTGTCTCTGTGTGTCTCTGTGTGTCTCTGTGTGTCTCTGTGTGTCTCTGTGTCTCTGTGTGTCTCTGTGTGTCTCTGTGTGTCTGTGTGTCTCTGTGTGTCTCTGTGTGTCTCTGTGTGTGTCTGTGTGTCTCTGTGTGTGTGTCTGTGTGTCTCTGTGTGTGTCTCTGTGTGTCTCTGTGTGTGTGTGTCTGTGTGTGTGTCTGTGTGTCTCTGTGTGTCTCTGTGTGTGTCTGTGTGTGTCTGTGTGTGTCTGTGTGTGTCTGTGTGTGTCTGTGTGTGTCTCTGTGTGTGTGTCTCTGTGTGTCTCTGTGTGTCTCTGTGTGTCTCTGTGTGTCTCTGTGTGTCTCTGTGTGTCTCTGTGTGTCTCTGTGTGTCTCTGTGTGTCTCTGTGTGTCTCTGTGTGTCTCTGTGTGTCTCTGTGTGTCTCTGTGTGTCTCTGTGTGTCTCTGTGTGTCTCTGTGTGTCTCTGTGTGTCTCTGTGTGTCTCTGTGTGTCTCTGTGTGTCTCTGTGTGTCTCTGTGTGTCTCTGTGTGTCTCTGTGTGTCTCTGTGTGTCTCTGTGTGTCTCTGTGTGTCTCTGTGTGTCTCTGTGTGTCTCTGTGTGTCTCTGTGTGTGTCTCTGTGTGTCTCTGTGTGTCTCTGTGTGTCTCTGTGTGTCTCTGTGTGTCTCTGTGTGTCTCTGTGTGTCTCTGTCTCCGTCTGTGTCTGTGTCTGTATCTGTGTCTGTGTCTGTGATATATATTTTTGTTGGACCCTGTCTGCCATGATTTCGGGGTGGATCCCTATGTCCCCACATTCCCATACCTTCCCCAGAATTAGCTCCCCTTTTTGCTTTTTTGCTTTTTTGGGGTTCCCTTTGTTTTACACTAACCAGGCAATAAATATATTTTTTGCTGGGGTCCTAATTCCAGCCTAGATACGGGGAATGTAAACCAATTCCACTGGGGTTGGTATGTCCGATGGTTTGTTAAACTCATCAAAAGATAGCCGCGGCAAACGGCTTCAGATGACTTTTTTGAGCCGTGGCCCCAGCCTTCCCCAAGTTCAGGCCTCTCCGCCGCGAGGATTTGGAAGGATGTGGATGAAGCAATATGCTGCTGTAGCTATTTCCTGGCAGTACCCATTGGCATATGTCCATTTGCTTAGACAGATGTTCCTGACGTTGCATTTGCTTCAGCTAGCAATGCAACAACTTGAAGCCCCCATTCAGCAACTGAATGGAACAAGTTCCTACATGAGTTGAGTTTATCAGTTTGTGCTCTTGGACGTTCGTAAGCTTAGCTAGATGTTACGTTTGACTCCTGTTGAATCCAAGGTCGACATCATTTTCCGTGCATGTGTTGTTTGAAGAGGTATAGTAACCCTTTCCCAGATCCATTTGTTGCTTGGCATACGACCCTTTTAAGCCTAACCAGCACTTGCACCTCTGGGGGGAGTGTTTTTTGAGGGTGCCCTGTTCGGGCTGGTGTTTACGGGAACCCCAAAAGGAACCCCACTGTTGTTTGAGAGGGGTACGCTGTGGGCCCTAGTGTTGTTTCATGACAAAAGCGGTTGGGTGCAAAAACTCAGGGCCCAGGACGTACCCTTCTGTTTTGTTTTGGGAGGGGGGATCTGATTCCAAAAAAAGACGATCCACCCTCTTGGGCTGAGGCCAGAGTTTCAGCGGACTTTGGCTCAGATCATCAAAGAGCCGCTCAGCTTCTTGGGAGGATGTCCAGTTTTGGGTGAAAACCCATTGGTGTCCTTTGGGTTTGGTTTTGTATCCCTAAGCAAAACCCCGGTCCTAGGGATTCCCTAAAGTTCCCTAAGGAACCCTAACGCTGCCTAACCCGCTGAAGCCTACCGATCCGGATGCTTTAGGCCTCATGTTTTGATACGGACATCATAAATCAGGTCGACTTACCATTAAACTTTATAGCGCCATAGAGTCACAGGGGTCCCAGGGCCGAACTCTGTCGCGAGATGCACAGCCAGGCGCAGTTGCCTTCTTCAAGTACCACCCTGTTTTTTCTTCCCCCCCCCCCCACAACTCCGAAGCTTTTCCCTGTGACTCCGTGGCCAAAAACCCATAGGCACTGCAGCTCTTTCATGTGACTCCAGGTTCTTTGGGCTCAGAACCTCTGGTTTCCCAAAGTCGAGGCATCCCACCAAGTCCGGCACCGACTTCTTGCGGAAGCGCCGCGGCCTGAGGGTTTCTTTGCCGGGCCCTGCAGAAAAAGGTCCATGTCCCAAACGGAGGTACCTCTAGGTTCCATGTGAAAACGGGCAGTGCAGACATGGGATCGTTGCGATATTTCGAGTGAAGATGTTGAGGGAATCTCAAAGCTATTTGGGTGTGGCTTTCCCTGAAATGACCACCGTGATGTTGAGGATTCGTCATTCTATATAATGGATTCAGTTGAACTTGGCCGGCCACGCTCACGAGGCACAGGCTGGTTTGTTGCTACTCCAAAGCCTCCCATACAATTATTCGCAAGAAAGCCCCAAAGCACGCAAACAAGTATAAAAGTACTGGACTACCTCAATGCGGACCAAAGACACGGCTTGTATTTGTCAACCAGATTCAAAGAACGGGTCTGCAGGAAATTCTTGATTCGTGGGTGTTTGGGCAATGTCCTGCTTCGCTTCTATGAAGACCCGGGGCAGGGCCACCTTTCCATTGCTCCGTAGGCACGGAGCTCTTCCTTACGGTGCAGGGCGTTGTGCTGCCAAGGCATCCTTCGGCTGGGGAAATGGGGGTGGAGGAGGTTTCTATGCCGGAAGCGGTATCTCGGTTTTTGCTTGGTTTTGTTTTCTCGGCTTTGATTGTTTGCCAGGGCGTGTCTTGAGTTATTTCCGGCGGGGTGGAGGGGGGAGAGCTTCCGATGCGTTGCCAGACTTTGCTTGACTTGTCAACCGTTGAATTTTGTCAGGGGTGCTCTGTTCTGAACTTAGGCAACTCCTATTCAAGTGAGAGAAACAAACGACCGGAGAAAGATCAAGACTGTGGGTGGTGGTGCGCGTGTGGGGGGGGGTGCATACCTGACACCCTATTGAGAGCCTTGTTGAGAGCCCTGTCGAAGCTGTTTCCAAGTGCTTTCCCTTTCACGTGGGGGACCCAACGTGCCAGCTACGAAATGGCTTTTGGAATTCAACCCTGCAGCATGCTGTGAAAACCGCGTGTATACAAAAAATGTAACCCACAGCCCGGCACAACCCCGATGACTGCGACGATTCAGGTGCTTGCAGAGAGTCCACTGCACCAGGAACATAATAGGATTTCAATTGGCTTTTGGTCGGTAGATGGTTCTGTGCCCGCGCGCAGTCTGACGGCTGAATTTCTAGGTCATTTGTTTTTGGAAGCCTAGGGCCTATTTGCTACTTTGAGACACTGGGGGCTGGATGGCTATTTTGTTGCCAAACCAATTGGCCATTGGAAGTGTTCGCCAGAGCTCGTCCGTGCAGGTATGGCTTCGAGGGCACTCCCAAGGCACTTCGAAAAAGTCGCTTCGGGCTCGGGAATCTGGAGGAGTCCTTCTGGATTTGGGTCACAGAATGGGGCTCCTACCATTCTAGTGGTGGTACACCCAACATCTTTGTTTACTATTTGGCCAATCAACGGAAGTGAGAATGGGAGAATCGAAGCTCGCTTCCGTTGGCATTGTCCTGTGGGTTCCGAAGGTGACATTTCGCTGCAAATCAACGGGAGGAAACCAAGGCAACCCAATCGCAGATTCCCCTGGCTGTGTTGTTCGTTTCTCGGGTGACCCACGTTCATCAGTCTAGATGCATTTGGTATGCACCCACACTGCCTGCTACACAAGGCTCATGTGTTGCATGTACAAGGAACGATGAGAATATAATGCATATACTTTAACGCCTCCGGCTCAGACCTCCGACATTAGTTTCAGGCCTACTGTCCAATATATGTCCTGCAAGTACCGTGCGTCATTGCGAATTGCAGTTTACTGATGATGAAGGTACATTCAATACAAACACCATATAATACTATTTGAAAGAACAAGGTTTAAAAGTTGAGGCATATGACAACGAGAAAGAACATGTCTCTTCATGTTCCCTTCATTTCCCCAGCGCTTCCCCTTCCTTTCCCCTAATTGTCCTTCATTTTCCACCCCCTTTATTCTTCATTTCCCCTTTTCCCGTCATTTCCTATCACGTCGGTTTCCCCTTCATTTCCGCTTCATGTCCCTTCACGTCCCGTCATTTCCCAACCATGTTCCCTTCATTTCCACTTCATGTCTACTTCACTTCCACTTCATGTCCACTTTGTTTCCCGTTATGTCTTCCCTGTTTCCCCTTCATTTCCCTTGTTTTGTGGAAAGAGTGTTATTGAATATACCCACGGACTTTGTCCTTCGTGTGTGAAACTCACGACCCGTGAAAATGTGCCCAACAGATTCAACAGATGGTCCCGTATTTCACAGGGGGGGTTCTTTGTGTTCAAAAAGTTTGGTAGAGCCAACTGTCAACAGGTCAAATGATATCGCACAAACACAATTTGGATTACCCATTAGACGCACAACGACCCGCGCGTCATGTATGCGACATGAGTGGGTGGGACAAAGTTGAGATCGATCGACGTGTGCGTTATACCCCCGGCTGCATTCTGTTGTGCACCCCGGCGTGTTTCGCAAAGCACCCAGAGCAGCCCCCGCATGCTGAAGATGATGGGGCAAGCTGCCTCCAAAAAAAAAGAAAGAGTCTTCCTCGGGTGCAAGAATCGGTCCATTTCCTTCAAGACTGTTTCTGTCAAATGCCAAGGGTGTGTCTCGAAATGGGGAGAACCACCAAACTGTGGTTGCCATGTCCAATCCAACTAAATTAACTTTTCATCCGTTGGTTTCCCTCATGTTCCCAGTTTTAGTCGCAAAAGGTTTCCACGTGGTCCTGGCAGAGGGAATTCGCCCCAAGTTTGATTCCCAGCTTCCCTCGAGGGAGTTGTCCAGATGATGTCCTCCTTTGCTCCGCATGGCCGGGCGTCCAAGCGCGAAGCAGGCCGAGATTGGGGGGGTTCCCCTGGGTTTCAACAAACGGTAACCTCAAAAACAGACACATCCACTCACTGCCCGAGTACTCCCCGAGTATTTGGACTTTAGCCACTTTCGGCTTGGACCATAGTGGTGTTTCGTTGGAAACAAAAGAGCGCGTAAACAAACAAATGCGCCTTTGGGGTGAGCGCGAAACCCCCGAGCGCGAAACAAACAAGAGCGCGAAACCCCGGATTGTTTTGGTTGAGCTTTGGGGTGAGTTGCCACTTTTGTTTGTTTCCGCCTTTGGCAAAGCCACTGGCCCACGATTGTTTGAGTTTGGTGTGTCGTTTTTTAGGGGATCCCCCCCTCAAGAAAACAAGCGGTGTTCCTTTGGGTGTTCCTTTAAAACCACCAAAAACGGGCACCCTCAAAAAATGACACTCCGCAATTGTTGGTCAAGGTCCCAAAAAAGTGACCATCGTGTGTTTCCTGCTCGTCTTTTGTGCATGGCGGTTTGGTACAGCGGTTTTTGGTCAAAGGCTTTCTGGCCTCGTGATCGTGCCACGCTTCCTTGTCACAAGTGTGATTCTCTTTGGCCTACTCAGCAAGTCAAGAGGATGTCAAGTGACCAGTTCTGTGTGTGTGCATCTGTACGTGATTGACACTCATACGTTCCAGGTTCCCATTTAAAATGCTCGGTTAAGTGCATCGTTTCATCTATTGGCAGGTTGTCCACGGATATGTTGGTATGATGTCGCATGTCGACCACACTGACCACCAGCATGAGTTTGGCTCTGGAGCGAGTGTCAAACTTGTGGGGGAGGGGGAGACTTCTGACCAAAACGGTTGCCGGCCTTATTTCCCCTGATGCATTCTGGCCTAATTTCCGTATCGGCTGCTATCAGAAAACATTAAGCCTTCTGAGGTCACAGCCCGGAGGTGGCCTGGAACAACGATCAGATGACCAAGCTGCTTCAGATGTGAGCGCAGAAAGATCGCCAAACACGACGATTGGGGCCTTCCAGCCGCACGGGAAGTGAAGGAATTCCATGCCCAAAGTTTCCCAAAACTAGAACTCGCTTGCCCAAAGCGAATCGACCTTTTGACCTTTTGGTTTCGGTGATTTGGTCCATTTTAAGTCATGGCCCCAAAAGGTGAACCTTTTTTTTCCAGGTCCTTTGGGCAACTGAGATAAGGGCCCCCCAAACCAATTGCTCGCTGTTGTTTCCTTGTCTCCCATGCGGACGGTACGGAAGGTTTCTGGTGCGAAGTTTCACCACAGAAAGTTTGCTCGAATCTGGGGCCCGCCCAGCTCACAAAGTTCCCAGGCTCTCTAGAAGCTTTGATCAACCATGACTTAGGCTCCTGCAGATGAGAATGAAACCCAAGAAACAAGAATTTACATGTACAGTACTCCTTTTGGAGGACAAACCTATTCGGGTTCCATGTTCCTTTCCCCTTGTTAGTGGGAGTTTTCGGAACCGAAGGTCGCACAAAGATCACCCACCCGCTGCGCTCGCTCAATCCCGGAGACTCCTTCAATCCCGGCCAGGTCCGTGGCGCTTTGCGACGTAGAAATGGCGAAGATGAAATCCATTCCACCGGGACTTGCAGTCTCCATCACCTTTACAAAATTCATACAATTATTTGGGGTGCCCCCCTCCAGGGGTGCCCCCTCCTTTGCGTTTCACAGGCACCCCAATAAGCTGCTATTTGCGGCACCACAGTTTAACTGGGGTCATTACCAGGTCATGGTCCCATTGTTCAAGGGTCAGCAGAGGAATTCGCTTTTTGAAGCCCTCCCTTTCGGTAAGGGAAACATGCATAACCTCATCACCTTTTCCGGCACCAGGGTCTCTCCAAAAAGACACTCGATAAAGCTTACTTTCTGAGTTCATGAACTTTGCACTTTTTGGGTTAAGCCGTTTTAGCGATAAACAAAAAGTTTCAACTTGTTCTGGGCCAGCCACGAGGAAGCGAGAAAGGCGATATGGTGTTACAACAAGACGGTTCAACGGGGAACTTTTTGGTGAAGCTCGCTCGCGGTCGCCGGGCGCAAAAAGCTTCGGAGAGGCAAGCAATGCGATGCGATGAAATGACGCAGGGCCGTTCGGGCACCTGATCGTGATGATTGTTGGTGTGTCTTTTTTTAGATGTACCCTTGTTCAGCTTGGTTTTAAGGGAGATTCATTTTGGGGGCAGCCTATTCTGAGATAAACCCCATGCTTGGCCTGCAAGCTCTAAAGGTTCCATGTCCTTGCCAATGTTTTGATGGGAATCGGTTGAAGTCATTCAGCTCTCAAGCCAAGGGGGCCCCAAACTGTCCATGCTGAGGCTGGTTTTGGCAGAGTCTGGTTTACCAAACTCCGCCCCAGCCCCCCCCCCCCCCCTCCCCCAACTGGTTGCTAAGGGGGAAATCGAGGAAAGCCGGGAAATCCGGAAGGGCAGAAGCTGGTAACACCAATGGCTAAGTCTGGTAAAGCTCAGCTTCGAAGCTTGTCCCTGGACAAATCCTCAGATTCGGGGGTATCAGATTCCAGAATCCCACTATGCAGAGGATGCGCTGTACTCATGACTTGACTCTGAGGCTTGAACAGGTTGGTTTGGCATTTCACTACCGGGATCTTGTTCGCCTTGCTGGTCCACATCCACTTGTCAATTCCGAACTTAGATTGCTTCAGAATGGGACTGTGCCTCTTGATCCAATACTCATTCGCGAGCATCTACAGTTTCCTGCAAGCTCCGTAGTATCGGCGCAGATTTGGCCAATCTTTTGAGGGGTGGAGGAGGTTCCTGAACATAAGCTCGTGTCGTGTCAATCAATGTGGATGTGTCTTTTTCTTAAGTCGATACCCCCTTTTGTGGTGGTTTTAAAACAACACCCGGAGTGTCCCTAAAGAAAGACACGCCCATGTTGCCGCGCTTAATCCATCTTACGACATGCTGTTGGGCAAATGATGCGATTGTCAGCACGTGGACGTGTGTTTCCCGCAGCTGACAGCCGGCTCTAAGTTAGATTCCACTGGCCTTCAGCCATGCTGTGTTGCTGCAGTGTCTCTGAGGCGCACAAACGCACGCAGTCCAAGTGATGCAATCAGCTTTCTGACCTCTTACTTGGGGTTGATAGGCATCGTCAGCCATGCTAAGGATTCCTATTCAGTGGCTCCTCTCCCAAAACGGGTGCGAGCGAATGTGCCGTCGGGTGTGTCTCAACGAGAGTGACTTGCCCATTGCATCTTTTCCGCGGGATGTAGAAGCGACGGTAGGTGCAAATCATTTGCAGGGAAAAGGGCTAGCTTGGGATCCGCACGTCTTCGTCTAATTCAGGCGGTAGGTCGATCGTAAATCGGCACTAGCCCAACTGAAAGGGATCAATCAGTGTCCCAATTACCTGTCGCAACCCAATGGCAAAGTGGGACAGCTAGGAGAGCATCCTTCGGGGTTGGAGTTCTTAGAGTTGCTCAGGGGCCACCATTGATCCTGCAATCAACGCGGGATCCTCCCCTTTGAAGCGACGAAGTATTGAGAAATCGTGCACTTCCACCGTGTATTTATGCATGTATATATATATATTCATAATATACATTACATATATATATATATATTTCAGAAACCACGTGGAGTTAGCCAGAGAAGTACACGAGCGCTACCATTGTTTTCTCCCATCGCACAAGTTTGAGAGGGCTTGTGCCAGGAGCCCAACAAGCTGGAGTCGGTGCCGGTCAATGCCCCGGGCTCGAAGGGGTTTCGGGGTTTCGCAGTTGCAAAGGGGAGAGCTCGTAAACTGGTTGTTGGGGGGGGGTTGGGGGGTGACAGGGGGGGGTGACAAGGGGTGGGGGGGTTGGTGAGCACTTGGGGTGCAATGTTTGCAACCTCCTTCTTGTTGCTATTTGTTTCGTTGTCTGTACGGGGGACCTTTTGGGGAAGCTCATTCTGGAATCGGAGATGGGGGGTTGCCTGAACATCCGCTAGGCGAAGCCCAGGGCCCTAAGGCTTTAGCTCAGCCCTCTAATTTTAAATGAGCGGTGTTTTTTTTAGCCGCAAGCTAATTTAGTGGGGAGAGGGACATTATTATTGATTATTGAAAATGTGCGCCGCGCCACACGTGCGGAAGCAAGCGGAAGGCTCGCGGAAGGGATTTGCTCGCGGAAGGTTTGCGGAAGCTTTGTGGCTGATATACAACTAATGTTTCAGTGCGTGCATGGAAAAGCTCGGAGAAGCGATTCCAGTAGAAGAAAGGTGTTGCTGCGTACAAGAAACGCAACACTTACTCGAAGAGCAGATGCCAACAGCAAGCCAAGAAGGCCAAGACAGCTCGCGTATTTCGCGGAAGGCTTGCGGAAGCTCCGCGGAAGGGTGGCCCCGTGTTTGCAGGCATCACTTGAAATGACTTTCATTTCTGCGCCAATGCTCGCGGAAGCAAATCTTGTAAACCATGCCCCGCGGAAGGTTTGCGGAAGCAAACAATGAAACACATGTGCCGCGGAAGTTCGCGGAAGGGACCTCTTGGCCCGCGGCAAGGATGCGGAAGGGTCCGCGGAAGCTTGAATAATGTCCAAGCAAGTTTGTAGGGAATAAAAAAAACCTGGTTCGTGTTGAGGGTAGATAGCAAGCTGAGTCAATGTTTTGTTTTTCTCCCCCGTCCTGAGCATGCACCAGCCATAGTTTTAGATCGGAAAAGCCAGGAATCCGCTTTTCTATGTGAACCTTAGGGCTGGTATGGGACTGTCCCAACCATACGTGCGGATATCCGCCCTTTTGATTGTTTAAACGGATAGACTTCTATGGTGGACTCCGCACTGCTATGATAGACTCTTCGTGTTTTCGTGTAGACTCGGCCCTAGGACTAGTGGCCATTTTGGTCGGTGGTTCCCCGTGGCATGGGGATGATGGAAAGAAAAGAACCTTCATCGTGCTAGAACCAAAAGTCCATTGGTTTTGGAATGTTCCGCGTTGTACCACCGCAGGATGCATGTCACATCATGTCACCTTTGCGGGGGAACCATGGCGTTGATAGATTAACCATCCTAGTGAGCTCCGCCCGGCTACGTGCTGCAGAAGGACTCTAATGACTTCCATTTGGTTAAACTTGTGTTTTTTTCCCCCTGCTGGTTTTAAAGGGAATCTATCACTACTGGAAATATGTGTTTATTCTTTTTTCCAGGGGACTTGAGCAAATGGAGGATCAAAACCCAAAGGGCAAGAAGTTGATGGTTGCTTTGGTTTCCTTCAAGGGATACACTTCTACCCTTGCCAGGGCCTTTGCAGCAACCCAGCAGAGTTATTAAGCGATCAGATTTGGCGCTCCTTTGGGGTGCTCAAAGGAATGCCATAAGAAACAGCCCTAAAGTTCATGACACTCGACAAATGAAGAACCGAATTCCTCAAGGGCCAAAATGATGGTTCAACCCACTTTGGCCCAAAAACCATCGAATTGGAGCCTTCGGGAAGCTCCGTTTTTACACGAGCCCCATTTGAAAATCAACCGCCCTGCGAGCTTCCGAAGCACGCCGAAGCTTTGCGAGGCCGGCAAGGACACCACTGACGTCTTTGAGGAGCAGCAACTCGGTTGCACTGAGCACTTCGAAATATTTGCTAGCTTCCCTGGTTGGTTGTACAGTTGGAATCGATTTCACTACTGGAATTGAGATTGTTCCTTGACGAAGCAACTGGAAAGCAACCTTTGATTCTTGGGCAAACAGTCCCAACCTGAAAACTCCAAGGCGCTACGTATGCAACCCCCTTTTTGTTTGCACAGCGGGATAGCCCCTGGGGCATGTGGTGTTTGTCATGATTCCTATCGCTTGTGAATGCCAATGCAAAGGGCTACGGTAGCTGTATTGATTCAGCGAACAAAGCAGATCGGCCTTTTCATTGCTTGGCTTTGCTTTTCCTTTTCGGGCCAACATGTCGTTCTGTATCAAGTATACATATATATATATATATATGGTTGTGGGTCAAAAGTATGTACCCAAAATGGAATC